AAAAGATTAAAATTCCAATTAATCCCAAATAATATATAAAATATGCGATTTCGGATTATCAAGTACCAAAGATTTAGCAAAAACATTATAATGTGGAACAGCACATTATATGTCTCCAGAATAAATTATCCTCTAATCTAAGCTATAAGGATATGATTAGTCAGTCGATATTTGGGCTTTTGGCACAGTGATCTATGAAATATTTACTTAAAAAGTCATGTTTATGCAATCTAATAGAGAGGAAATTTATAAGGAGATCCTCAAAATCACTTAATAATAGATTGACGAAAAAATCAAAACCGATTTGAAAATGCTTGATCAAAAATATGTAAATTTAGTTTAAAAAATGATTCTAATTGAACCTTCTTAGAGAATTACTATTGATCAGGTTTTAATTGAACTCAAATATTAGGGTACAAATATTGCAACTCATAATGTAAATAAAGAAAATATTATAAAAGCAAAAACTTCGATGTAAAAAACAGAGAAGCATTTCAGAAGGAAATAACGAGAAAAATTAGAATTAGCAGCAATAGCAGAATATTTTTAGTACTGAATAATAACCATTTTTATAGAAGTATGAGCAAATCAATACTTAGAATAATAAATCTCATATTTTTATTTAGTAAAAATAAGTGAATTTAACTTAATTTAATTAGTAAAATCGTTTTCAATAAAAAAGGCAATAATCACCAAAATGATTCAATAAGGAAAATGAATAATATAATATATAATATAACATATTTTTTTTTATTTGTAAAAGAAATTATTGAATTAATTGATTAAATCATTTTTTAAGCTATTTCATTATTTTACTAGCCTTTAATCTGTATTCTGTAATCTTATCAGAACATTATTAATTTTAGGACGAGAACCAGACTATTATTAATTTTTATATCTTATTTTTTATGCAAAATTCTTTTCCAGCATTTATGATTTTTATTCTACTTAATTCTATTAGATAGCTTCTTTACTAATCAGAGATAGCTCATCATAATTAAACTTCTAGCTTATTTCTTTATTATAAGAAAATTTGTTTGTCATTGAAAAAATACACACTTGCGTAATCATTTAATCTAGATTAAAAACCCAAATGATGCAATCTTGTTTATTTTCAGGTTTAATAAATTTTAAGAAATATAATATCCTAAATCATTTTTATATCAAAGATTTTCTCATCTTAACAATTGTTAGGTGAGGTCAACGTACATTCTGAATATCTTTTTCTATTCAATATAAAAAAATTTAAACTGTTAGGATTAATCAATCTGAAGATTGATAATCCGTATGTGTTAATTTGGAGGAAATTTTGAACTTATTATTTGTTAAAATTTGAATTCAATTTTTTAATGTATTAGCAGCGTGGTACTGTTGGATAGTCTATCTTCCAAAATGATATTCCCACTTAAAACATTAACCCAAATGATGTTATGATGTAAAATATGATGAAAATGTTTTAATCTCAAATGATTTCAATGATGCAAAGCCATTCATCTGGTAAAGAGATTTGTTTATGTAGGATTTGATTTGGAGAAATTTTATATGCATAAAGTGAATGATATGAATTAGTTTTATAATTAAGTGAAACCAGATGAATGTTAATTATAGCAAACCTCCCAATTCATAAATGCCTATAATCCAAATAAATATTATGAAGTATCCCAAATAATAATATTAGGAAACCTATACAAATACAAATAGATAGCTTAATTTTGATGATATCCCAGTTTCAAATAATAGCAACAATGAATTCCAAGATTACAATCTTTAATAAAATGAATATTTTAATCAACATAAGAATAATAATCAAGAATAAAAGCCAAGAGGTTCGCAAAAATTGGTTGAAAGAGGATATTATAATCAATTCGATGATGATTAAAACTCAATAAAACAATCCTAACATAATTTTGAGAATGAGGATTACAGTAGACAATAATCAAGGTAATATATGAATTCAAACATCAATTAGAAATAACTTAATAATAATAATGATCAAATTAATAATAAATATAATAATCAAAGAAATTAAAGCAATGAAAACAATTATTAAAAAAATATCAATAGAAGTCAATATAATAATGAAGACAATTAATATCGAAAGCAGTCTAATCCTTTTGATGAAATGCCAATCAAGCCGATGCAATAAAATCAATTTGAAGATATTAATCATAAATAGCTAGAAGATATTTCTAACACAATTAAAAATGATGATTATAATAGAAAAAATTCAGAAATTTTCTAAGACATTTAAAGAAAGAATAATTAAATGGAAGAATAACCAAAGAAAAAATTGAATTATTAAAATTCATATGAAGCATTTGATGAGATGCCAATTAAACCGACAAAAATCAATATTTTTGATGAAATGCCTATCAAACCAGCAAAATAAAATACCTTTGATGAAATTCCCATTAGACCTGCCAAATAAAATTCCTTTGATGAAATTCCAATAAGACCTGCCAAATAAAATTCATACGATGATATTCCTATTAAACCTGCTAAATAAAATGTTTTTGATGAAATGCCAATCAAAACTGCTAAATAGAATGCTTTTGATGATATTCCAATAAAACCTACAAAAAAAAGTTCATTTGATGAAATTCCAATCAAATCTAATTATCAGAATTAAATAGAAGATTAAACTATTGGATATTCTAAATAAAATAATTAAGTGAATGAAAGAGCTAAATAAAATTAAAATGCAAAATAATAAGCAAAAAATATCATTGAGGATAATCAAATAAAAACATATAAAAATCATGAAGAAATATCAATAAAATCCACAAAACATTAAAATTTTGACCCTTTACCTGAAAGAAATCCTTTTCAAAGAATGCAAAATGAAAATTTAGAATAAAATCATGAAGGATAAGGTAACGTTAAGAAAAAGCCTTTTTTGAAAAAAGGTACAAGATAATTTTTATCAAATGCATAATAAAGATCAGATATTGCAAAAAAGGAACATGAAGATATTATGAAAGAGAATAATGCAATTGGCAATCCAATTATGTAAAATCAAAATTATTAAGCTAAACCATAAAAATCATCTAATCCTTCAAGATTTGAAAAATAAGAGTAAAGAGAAGTGTAAACTAAAACTAAACGATCAGAAACACCTAAAGAATAGCCAAAACCAAAGTCATAAATTTAATAATAAAAATAAAAAGAACACTAAAAATAATAAGAAAGTTAATACTCACCTCATCTTTCAAGTAAAGAGTATTAATTTGATAATAATGAAGATTGGAATAAAGAGTAAACTAATTAAAATTAAAAAATCACTTCTTCTTATTTTGGTTTAAAAAAAGAGGTCAAAGTTGAGAAATCAAATCATTCTGAAAGTGAAGAAGATAGTACTAAAAATTAAGTTTAAGATAAAATAAATAATCTCAATATGGAAATAGCTAAATTTAAAAGTGAAAATGATAAATTAAAGAAAACATAAGGAAAATATGAAGAGCAATTAAGATAATTATAAAGGGAAAGAGATGAATGGGAAAAGTAAAAGGAAAATGAGAAAGTATAATTGGATGAATGGAAGGAAGAAGAGAAAAAGAAAATGCTGAGGGAAAAAAGAGTGTTTGAAAGATAGGCAAAGTCAAATTAAAATATTCCCAATAGGAAGGAAAAGGAAGAAATAGAGTAACTTAAATAACAAGTTTAGAAATTGCAGGAAGAGTAAAAACTAAAGGATTAAAAAAATAAATTGGCTTATGATAGAATTAGAAAATAATATGAAGAAGTAAATTAAAAGAATCAAGATTTATAATCAGAACTGAAAGCATTAGAATTAAGACTTTTAGAATAGAAGAAACCTTCTTATGTGCAATCCTAAACTTCAATTTAACCAAATAAATAGTAATAAATACAAATAAAATCGAATTAATCAGTCATATCATAAAAATAAGAAGTTCCTCCCTAAAAACTAAGAAATCAAAGTCCGCAAAGTATTCCTGATGATTAATCATTAAAAGATAAAAAATCAATATAGGATAGGAAGAATTATTATTTAGATGAAGATGAAGAAGATTTTGAAAATGATAATGAAAATGAGAATGATGATTACTAAAAAAATGATGAGGAAGAAGATGAAGATGATAATTAAAGTGATGCATTATCTGAAAAGTATGAAGATATCATGGAGAAATCAATGACTTAGAAATCTAAAACCAATATTACAAATTAATAAAAATAAAAAAAATATGATTTAGTAAGTATGCAAGATCAAGACATACCATTTACTATAAAGAACATTAATAATTTAATTAGTGAATAAGAATTCATATATGATTAGAATCGCTTTTATTTAATGTATAAAAGGAATAAGGAGTTGCCATCTAAAATAGTTAATTAGAATGTAGGTTCTGATGGGAAGGTTTCTAGACAGTATGCAAATGGAAAAAAGGAGGTAGTTTTTCATAATGGAGTCAAAAGAGAAGTGTTCCCTGATGGATATGTAATCGTTCATTTTACAAATAAAGATGTAAAATAGACTCTACCTAATGGAACAATAATTTATTTTTTTGCAGATGCTCACACTACTTAAATAACTGTAGCCAGTGGTCCAAATGTAAGATATTTGTCTTATTATTATTAGATTTATAGATTTTCGAATTAATAGATTGAAATCCATTTTGCAGATGGCAGAAAGGAAATTAGGTTTGGAGATGGCACTGAAAAATATATCTCAACTAATGGCGAAGAATAAACCTTTTTTAGTGATGGGATTATCTAAAGGATAGACAGCAAGAAAATAAAATAAATAGAATATCCAAATGGAAATATTGATATAATATATCCTGATGGACAAAAACAAAGATAAATTAAAAAATGATTTATATATATATATATCTATCTATTATTTTGATACAATTGTAATAGAAAGGAAATTGGTTACATTAATAATAATATTAATATTGATTATTCAAATCATTTAATTTATAATTTCTTTCATTTCTTTTTTGGAACTTGTAGCTAAATTGGTAATGGAATTTTAATCTGCTACCTCAAGGCATTAAGTTCAATAAATTAAGGATGGACTTACATCTATTTGGGAGCCAGAAACTTTTAAAATGGTAAGGTTTTGCACCATCCTCTAGGTAAAAATTAATTATGAACAATTTCTATTTTGTTTAAAATACGTAAATTTACTTTCTTGCTATTCATACTTTTATTAATCATGACAATCTAATTCTACGACACTTAGTTTTCTAGTAGAAGTATTACTCCTTTTTCCTAAAATAGCAAAATATTGTATTAATAAATACTTGGAGGTTCAACAATCTTTGGATCTTAAGATATAACACTAGTTTTTCTAATATAACCATAGGCTTAGGAATGATTTTACTGCTGTTATTATTGTTCGATGTTTTAATTCAAGATATTGTGAAGGCTGGGAGTAGTGCCACCATTGTGACTACTAAGTCTGTGAACAGGGGACTAGTTAGATGGAAGTGGTTTTAACACATTCAATTATGAGGCAGTATTCAGAAATGGTATGGATTACTAAGGCTAGATGAGATGTGGTTGAGATTGTTGTTATTACTAAAATTAAGTGAGAGAAGCCAATTAAATTTTCTTAGGAGATTCAAATTGTTTGTTCTCTACAAGAGTATTCATGAGTTGTTTTGGATTATTGGCTGTTGTGGATCTGGATCTCTATTGTAAGTCAACTGAACTGTTGTTTTATTTTTTTGTATTAATAAATTAAACAATCTTTTTGGTTTTCTTCTTATTTTGATTGCTCCTTTTGATGATAATAAGCTTGCCACTATTTGATTCAGCACACTCCTATGCATCCTAAATACTTTATTAAGAAGCAGAACGCTAAGAGCCTTCGGTTTACTGATGGTTGTTATTGGAATTGTATTAATTGAGTATATTTTCATCTGCAATTTAGCTATTATTAGGTTAGTCTAGGTATGAGTCATGCTAATTTCGAGATGGATCAATCAATCTTTTTAAAATACTTTAATATTTTGGAGTTTCAACTCTGTGGTTGTGATTATGTTGTCTTGATTTAATTTATGCATGCTCTGCCATCATTTCCTTAACATATGACTTATCTAGTAAACTTTATTATTATTGTTACTATTAATGGACCTATGAAATTTTGTTACACTAAAGTAATAGAAAAGAAATTAATTACTTGTTCTAAATAAGATGAATCAATCTTTTTAGTATTGACACATCTCCAATAATCCTTTGACATCATCCTAATTACCATCAAAGCCTTAATGATTCTTGTTACACGTTCTCTCATTGAAAAGGACTTATACATCTCAGGCAAGGAGAGTGGAATGGGATCATTGACCTTTCCAGTGATCCATGGGTGATGTAAGATTTGATGTGCATTATATCTATGCATGGGGTCCTCAGCAACACATTTCAAGAAAAGGTTCCTGGCCAATTAATCAAAACCATCAGGGAAATTCCATTGTGGATTTTGTATATGATCATACAATTTTTCTCTATATTCCTCAGCTGTTTATCCTTAGACATACAATGGATGTTTCCCACCGGTGCAAACCATGTACAATATGATTCCACAACTCCAAATATCAACTGGCTAGTCTATCGATTAATATTTTTACTTTAGAGTAATGCTTGCTAGTGAAGAATTCTGGAGCCATGTAGATGAGAGTGCCACATTGGCCACTGATGAGAAGCTGAGATCGAGTCGACAATCCAAAATCTACTATTTTCAAAGTGGTCATATCGTTAGGGTCTTCAAGTAAAAGGTTCTCTAGTATACATACAATCCTCACCTCAGGTTTAATGTCTCGATGGACTACTCCTCTTTCGTGGATGAATGCAACTGTCTTGAACAAGGTTTGCATAAATTGTCTTTTCTATTCGTAACTCAATTCAATTTTGTCTGTAAATAATCTTTTCAATTGTCCGTACTTCACCAAAGCCATTTCGATCAATAATCTTGTATCTGTTTCATGTACTCTCTTAAATTACACTATATTTGGGTGCTTCATCTGACTCAAAATGCTTGCTTCTGCTAGTATTTCCGAATAGCTTCTTCTACATTCTCTCTTGGGTACTAGTTTGACAGCTACGCTTTCTCCTTTGATGTTCTTTGCCTACACTACCTTACCAAATCCCCCTGAGCCCAGAAATTCTTCGAATTCATAGAAGTCACTAAATTTATTTGCAACATCTCCAGAATCAAGATCGTTCATTTAGAAATAATTATATATTAAAAAATTTCATTAATCACTTCCTTTCTAAATCTCACATTATAATTCAATCTTTTAGAGTCAGCAATCACTGCACTATACAATAATTTTCGTTTTTATTTTTAATATTCTCTCGTTATTTTTTCGAAAAATCTTTCCTTAGTATTATTTTGATCTTCTTATAAGATAAAATTTTAGAAATTATTGATGTTTATAATTTTAAATGGATTACTATATAATAGAGAGACAGCATCTGAAAAAAGATAATTTAAATTATCTTCAGTAGTCTCCAATAAAGTAATATGGTTTAACACAGGATTGAAAATCGAAGTTGTGATTTGATAATTAAAAGTATACAAATCCAAAACATTTACTATTTTATTGTTTCTTATATTCAGTTCCAAAACGTTCAAGTTTGTTAACTATTACAGAGATCTATATATTTTATTCAACAAAATATCATTTATCACCAATTTATCATTTTAAAAATCTAGCTGAAATTGATAATAAAATATACTTGTAATTTAATTAATTTTGGTAATTCACTTATTTAATTAAATACAAAATAATAGCTAACAGGTTTCAACAGCATTTGACTTTATAAAATCAATTAGAGTTGTTTCATTTCCTTAAAATCAACTATTGTTTTCAATAGAATGTCGAGATTACACTCATCACATTAGATTTTATCAAAATGTAAAATCATTTTTCTTAACGACTTTCTCAACTACCATTCCTTAGACAAAAACTCAAACAATTTACCAAAATTACTAAACTGTTAATCTTTACTCTCCACAGTCTCGATAAACTGTAATTACACAGTGGAAGGATCAATCTTCCAAGATAGATTAATTGACATTAATTAATCTTTATCCTTGTAGATCTCTAAAATATTATTTCTTTTATTTACTTGTCATCACTCTCATCTGCTTATAATCATTAGTTGTCCTATCGCAAGTTGGAATGTTTTGAATTATAAATTCTTATGTATTTAATCCCCTCATCTTCTCCATAAACAAATTCAATAGAAAAGTCTATTTCCATTAAATCTTCTCCAAATCCACATCAGTTCCAAATAGACGCAAATTGTTTAATGTTATACTAAGTTAAGAATTTATAATTTTGCTGTATGCCTCATTATTTGCATATACGAATCTGCTGTCAAGGATTTTAAGATTGGGAAAGTTCTCTGCATTTTATCCCAACTCATTCAAGCTATTTACTTTATTACACCATTATATAATGAAGGTATCCAAATAGGGCCATTGTAATTTGGAGATGTAATAAATACCCTAGTTATCAATTTTAGTGTGACTCAAATCTAAATACTTGATTATTTGATTTCCTTGAAATAAATACTCCAAGGAACTAGAAGTCATTGATTAGCAATTTAAAGTTAAGATTGTTAGTTTTTTAAAACAATTTGATAACCCTCCCTTTTTCAGAAATATTTCAAATCTAGAATCAGTGATATCGATACTGACCAACTTTAATTCTACAAGTCCACTTAAATCGAACTTGATTAAATTCTTCATTATTTTCGGATGAGGATTTTTAATATTTTCCAAAGCTATTTTCTTCAAATTTTTGTTATTGTATCTCAAAGACTATTTGAAATCTTTATAATCCATGATGTTTGAATAAAAGATATCATTCTAAGATTTTTATTATAAATTACTAAATTATGCAATGACTTCGTGTTTTAAATACCTTAGTCATTTTGATTCTTCACACTATATTTCATCTGCTTCTCTTCCTCTTCTTTTTAGGCTTACCCTGATAAGATTGAGTCAAACAAGCTTAATTATTTTGTTTATGTCGTTCTTCTCATTTTATAATAAATTTTGAAAAATTAATAACATTTTATATAGAGATCAGGCTAACATAAATTACATAATCTTAATGCAATGCTACATATACAACATTCTTAAATGATATTATAGTAATTATTAATAATTCAATTGAAATTTATAAAGGACTTCGAAATGATTTCGTTGAGCAGCCTTCAAAATTCCAATTAAATGTTATCGATATTGATCTTGGATAAGATGGAAGAATTCTAAATCAATACCATGTTCACTCCCCAATAGTTAGGGGTTTAGTTTTGCACACAATTCGGTTTAAATTTAACAAATCTACACTTAGTTACTGAGAATCTGATAAGATTTATTTAGTCAGCATCAGTGTTGCCTCAATATAGTAATATAGCTTAATGTTATGAAAAGTATTTTAATGTAAGAGGGAAGATTATCCCATTCAAATCTTCATATTAATTAAGTGAGTTTTTAGTTGAAAACAAAATTAAATTTGAGAAATCTCATTCACAAAATAATTTGCATTCAGTGCAAAAAGAAAATCTATAATAATTCTAGAGAAATCAGTTCATAAATTAGCAACCCTTCAAGCAAATTGCCGATAATTGCCAAACTTTCAGAGAGAAGAATAGATTTGAGAATCTATACTTGAAAGGCAAGATAAAGTAAATGGAGAGGAATAAAAGCAGATAAAAGCACATAGATAAGTTGGATGTTTTGGATGAAAACTGTACGTTTAGACCCAACACAAGAGTTTTACAAAGGCAGAATCAACAATCCTTATAGATGAAATAGGAGAAATATTATTAGCAAATATTTGACTGTTTAGATAATGATAAGGATGGGGTGATTTCTAAAAATTGCATTGATATTAGCAAACTCAATGTGAATGATGTGAAGTATTGAATTATGATATTCTTAGCAATATTTTGGGAGTGTTGTTGAAAATTGAGAATGAGAATTTGGAATTAAATTATAATTAATTTATATAATTAATATTCTTATGACAACGTAAATAAAAAAGCTTTCGAAACTAGATCACACTGTGCCCATCTATTCGCCTCGTTCAACGTACAAATAGATTTTACATACTGATGAAACATTGTTAGCTGATCTTACTCTTAATTTTGACCCATTCACAATTAATGTGTTGAGAACTGAGTTTCTAATGAGACAAGGATCTATGGAAGTGACTGAATTCATTTTGGTTGTGAAAGAGCATTTGTTGAGTTGGCAATTAGAAATCTCCAACAGAGATATAAAATTGATTAGGTATTGATGTATTGTAATTAGATAACTGGTGAATCTGTTTGAGGAGATCGATTTGAATGGCAATGGGAAATTGGAATGGGAGGAATTCACAAACTATATTATTGAAAAAGCAACTGTATTAAATAATATTAAGTCTAAATAAGATGAGATCAAACTCTATACTAAATCTAATATGAAACCATTCAAGAAATTCACTCAAATCATCACTCGAGTAATTTACATCAAGGAGATTGATAAAATAGCATTCTTTGAAGAGGGAAGTGATGAAATCTAATTTATGACACCCGACGGAGGGTTTGGATTGAAACCTTTAAAAATTGTTCCCATCAGTGATAAGGTTGTGACTACTCAAGCAAAAAAGGATAAGGATAAACAAAATGTATCTAAATCTCATTATAAACTAGTTTATCATAGTGAAGAAAGAAGACACCATAGAGAAGAAGACAAAGATCTTGACCATGCTCTACATCGATGATCCCAAGTACCAAGTGCTGTTGACATCCACTCATGATGGATATGTAAGAGGATGGAGATATCAATCTTCTGGCTTCGTATTAGCCAACTAGCCTGATAACGATGAGGAGATGATTGAACACCATTTCAATAATGACATTTATAGTATGACTTGGGATGGAATTAATGAAATTTTGTATTGTGGTCAAAAAGAAGGATAAATTAATATCTGGAACTTAAAAACTGATACAGAAACATAATTGTAAAGTGAAGGTGGTCATACTGATGTAGTAATGGACATGATTGCGATGCCAAAGTTATAATTTATGGCTTCAGCTAGTTTGGATGGTAATTTGATTTTGTGGAATACTCTCTATAATAAGAGAGAGAGAACATATAAGGAACACACAAGAGGAATAGTATCATTAGCTTTTAATGAGAGTTTGATCTTGTTATTTTCTGCAGGATTTGACCATAATTTATGCGTTTGGAATCCATACATAGAAAGCTTGATTTTTAAAATATAAGGACACAGTAGTCCAGTGATTGGAGTTGTGGTTATTGAAGGGACATCCTAGATAGTGTCTTTGGATTAAGAGGGTAGTGTGAAGGTTTGGGATACAAAGAAATTTAATTGTGTTTAGTAATTTAGTGTGGAGACCTAAGATGAAAAGCACAAATTTAATCCATCCAGTTTATGCTACATACCTAAACCATTAAAGCTGATCTTTGGAGGCAGATCGATTTATTCTTATGAATATGATAAGAATTATAATCCTAATTCAGTAGATGATTACGTTGCAGTTTGTTGTAAGTTCATCGAAAATCAAATGGCATTTTTTACACCTGCAGGAACTAAAATCAAAATTTGGAATGCTTTAACTGGAGATGTTAAGAAAATATATAGTGATATTACGACAACAGAAATTACAGCTTTTAAATTGGATAATCTAGATAAACGATTTATAATAGGAGACAGTAGTGGAACAGTTGCATTATTCAATGTAATTAATGGAGCGAAGATCAAGAATCTACCTAAACACTCTGGTGAAGTTGTTGCGATAGTTCACGCGTCAGACATTGGAGCATTCTTTACAGGATCAATGGACAATAATGTGTTTATGACTTTAGATAATGAATTCGGAGAAAGTGAGTTGTTGCGTACTTTTATAATCTAAGATGGTTAATTAACATATTTGAGTTATGACCCTGCTATGAAACATTTATTAGCAGGCACTAATTCTGGTTAGATTAGATTTTACGAAACTGATACAAACAAATTGCATGGCGTAGCTAATGAATTCAAATAAGGCGAAGAAATTACGTCTATCAATTTAATCAAAGGAATTCCTTTTCTGTTTGTTACCAATAGTTAAGGGAGAGTTTCAATTATGTCCATGCCTCCTGTATTGCATAGATTTGTCAAAGTTTATACCTTTACCAATATAGATCCTGAAATTCCTAGTCAATTATTAGGAATCTCCAATGCAGTGTTCAGTCAAGAAAAAAAGGTTCTCTTTCTTAGTGATGATAAGGGATTCATTAAATGTTTTGAAGTTGATTGGCTAGTAGATTTCTTGATTAATGTTGTCAATGAAAAAGATAAGGAAGATGCTGCTACCAAAAGAATGAAGGGAATTAAAACTGGATCCACTTAAAATGCAAGACAAATGTTAGCATTACCCAAAGTACCTTAAAAAGAGGTTAAAATGAAATGGATTACTAGAGCACATTATGAAGTAATTAAGTCTTTAGAGTATGTGGAAAAAGAAAACTTTCTTATCACCACTGCTTTTGATAAGAAAGTCAAATTATGGGATGCTGAAACTGGTAAATTTATTGATTCATTTCAACAAAATTATGATCGCAAAGAACCAAGACCCATTGCTTTAAAAAGAAGCGGCACTGAAGAAATTTATAATACTGATTTAAATGAGAGAGTGGATCTCAAATACACTCAATTAATACAATAATTATTATCAGAAGAACAGAATGGGTAATTGCCATAAATATAGGTCTTAGAAGATAAGATTTCTGATCCTCTTGGCTTAACCAAATCTCCCCAGGAAGAATTCAACCCATTTTATTACTTAGAAAAAATAGATCAATCCAAATTGACTACAATTAAGAGCAATCCAGAATGGAAATTAGAAATTGGATTCAAAGAATACTATGAAAAATATGAATAAAAAATTAAAACCTTGTTTGATTAAGTCAAAATTAAAGAGAAGGAAGTACATGAGAAATAAGTTAAATAGGGAATTCATAATCGACATTTTAAAGTGCAAAACTATTCGACTGATGATGCCAAGTAATTTGATTCCAATCATAAACCAATACTGAAGGAAGATGAGGGAAACAATAACCATCAACAATAGGCTTCTTTACAATTCAATCAAAAATTAAAACCAGAATAAGTTCTCTAAAAACACAAAGTTCAATAAAAAGATCAACATCAAATTACGTAAGGAGGAAATCAATAAATCAATTTTGATAGTATTACAAATCAAGGTGAAATTGTTAAAGAATTGAAACAATAGTAATAAGATTTATAAGAAAATTTAAAACATGGAATCAAAGTCAGTATTTCTACTCCATAGATTAAATCTATCCAAGTTCCATCGTTGGCCAAAGCTGGCACATCCAAAAAGAATAAAAAAGTGGATCCTTAATTATTTGAGAAGTTGTATCGATAAAACCTAAAAAGCAAAGTACTCTTTAATTCCGATCCTGAAGTTTTCTTATCTGAAGTAAATTCTTATATTTATATCCAAGGCTGAATGTAATGCTGCGTACAAGTTGGCTGCTGCATTGGCTAATTATGATATCACCGATGAACGCTCATTGAAGTTTGCAGAGATTAAATGCAGATCTAAAATCAAATTACCAAGATTATAATGACAAAATATCAATTTATATAATATTTTACCTCAGATGTTATAATACACTCTTGAATTGTATTTAGATTTGGTTTTGAAAGTTTAATCCTACTTTAATTTCGAAGTCTATTATCATAATCAATTCAATGATTTTTTAAATCAAATAATCATTTAATTTAAGTGATCATGAAAAATGATTTTTTTGATTGACAGCAAATCCATACTAGATTGCAGAACTTACAGTATAATAAGACCACACTAATTTGATGTCGTTGCCATCTTAGAGTATTATAAATAACAATTACAATCAGCAGAGTTTAAAGAAGAATCAAAAACAATCTTATTTGATAAACTAAGGACTTTAGCTAATGTCCTATTTAATTCAAATAAATCACAAATTTTAAGATTATTATAAGTATTCGCTTAAAATTCTACTGAAAATAAGTAGATTTTTTAAACATTTCAGGATAGTTCTTGTTCATAATGGTTTATCGAATAGCTTTATGTTGATCTAGTTCAAATCATTTTTCAACAATATCTAATAAATGATTAATAATTCATAGGAGTATTGTTAAAAAAGATTATGAATTTATATGAATTGAACCTCTAAGTTTAAAGTGGGTAGTATAAAAATCCACGATCTTAAGAACATTATAAATCTGATATGAATAAGAGATGTTAAGGAAAAAATGAAAAAATCATTTAATAAGATTAATTTATTGAATAATTCAAAGTTTAAATAGAAGATTGTATTAGAGAAAATAATTAAAAGTAAGTTCTAAATGATGCTCAATATGAAACATAATATGCAGAAAAAAATACTCATCCTCCTAAAACTACTCAAAAAAAACAATCTAAATAATAACAAGGAAAATAAAAAAAAGAAAATTTCAATTAAGAAACAAATTTATTTTAATCTAATCCTGCATGTTCCTAACAACAAGGATAAGGCAGTTCTGGTTTAGAAATTTAGAAATAATAAGATTAAATTAATGACTTAATATGCAACATCATAAGTAAAAAGTCTATTGATTCTGAAAATTTAACTGAAGAGTACCCCAAATAAAAAGAATAATCAAAAAATTAAGATATGTCATCAATTTAAGAAGACATTAAAAAAAAAGAAGAAAAAAACTAAGTTAAAATTGATGTCAAAAAGGAAATTTAAGACTAAAAAAATAATTAAGATATAAATTCGATGCAAAATTACTAGTTACCTGAAAATGAATAAGAAAATATAGTATTACAAAAATATACTACTTTGGAAGGAGTGTATGAATTATTGGAAGACTAGTATTCTTTTGATAGTTGGTGGCCAGTATTTAAGGCTTAATGTTCATAGTGTAAAAATAAGGATGAATTTTTTAAGGTTTTATAGTAAAAAGCCCCAATTTTGATGGAAAAATGGTCTAAAACAACAGAGAAATCAGATAGAGAAATAATTGAGAGATTTGAAGAAATTGATTTTGAAAAATAAGATTACGAATAATAAAATGATTGTTTAATAATTAGGGAATAAGATATAAATAATACTGTAGAAAAACCATAAAGTCTTGAAATTAATAAAAATATTTGCACTGATATTGTTAATCAACAATAGGAGAATATTGATAAATCAAAGAATAATTAACAAATATAAAGTTAAGGAAATCAAACAGAATCAAATCATATATAGGGTAGCCAATAATTTATAAATCAAGAGTTTATATAAGAAAATAGATTTAGCTAGGATTTTAGTGATGGTGGATTATTTAATCTTAATTAATAATAGAACTTTGAAAATCAAAATTTTTCAGATTTATTTGTTCTATCTCCCTCAAAGAAATCTTCTGCAAATTATTGCAGCGATGAAGAAAACTTTTTACTTAATAAGGGAAATGAAGAAGAGAATAACTCAGATTTAAGTTAATCGGACAGTGTTATTTTAGATGAAAAGCAAACTAAAAAGAGTTTAATTACAAATTTAGAGTAATTTTATAAATCAAAACTTGTTGAGAATCAACCATAGCATATTTTTCCAGAACTTGAATATATGGGTGACACAGAGAAGATGGTTGATAAATTGTTATCATATTTAGATTTTGAAAATCTTGATATTTAAATAGAAGACTTTTTGGCTTAACCACCCATTAACCCATCAAAAAATTTACAAGAATTTGTTTTAACAACATATAATATTATCAAACACATTACAATACATAAATATTCCACAATAATAGAAGTGAAATAAGTTGACAAAGAATACTTGGGTTCAGTGATAATATGCTAAGTCAATAATAACAATAAGGAGATAAAGAAATATAAAGGGCCATGTTTAGATATAGTAAATATCATAACAAGATTGATAGCAATTAAGAAACTTAACAATAAATTCTTTAGTGAAGGTCTAGAGTCTACAAGTTTATTCTAAATCGTAATGTCGATAATCAAAAGATTAGTCCCAGGTAAAGGAGTTTTTAAAGAAATAACAGAAAGATATAAGAAAATAAAGAGTCCTCATGATAGACATTTGGATAAGATAGTTCTTATTAAAGCTCAAAAATCAAGTCCTCTAGTGTCTACAAACAAGTAAAATTATTAATCAGACAAGTCAGAAAATAAAAAATACGATTTGAATAAATAATCTTCTGCAAAGAGAAGAAATTATGATAAAAGAGGTTAAAGAGATGGTTAATATTAAAATAGAAATACAGAAACAAACCAAGTCAAAAATAAAAGAGCTAAATGCAATTAAAGTTAAAGTTAAAATTAGAATGAATCGAATCCAATAATTTAACAAAATTATTACAATTATGATGAACAAGATTATTCCTTTGATTAATCACCATATCCTTAAAATCAATAAACCTAATCATAATATTAAAGTTACTCATAAAATTAATATTTGCAACCATCCTAATATAAGAAAAGTCCTAACTATCAAAATCAACCTTGTTAATAAGGTTATTAAGGAACATCTAAAAATCAGCAATAAGACTATAATTTTTACTAATAATCTGCTTAGAACTAATATGCTTACAACATGCCCTATCATCCAAACCATTTACAACAATTCCAATATTAGGGTCAATATTAATATAATAATTAAAATGATATGCACATGCAAGCATACCCTTATTTCCTTAAAAAGTCTTAAACTATATAAAAAGGTAATTATAAATTAGAAAAACATTCAAGGCAGTAGTTGCAAACTTAATAAAGTTATTCAAATAACCGATAGAATAATTAATACGATTAATTTCATTAAAATCAATAAATGATGTAATCATATGAGGGCTATGCGAAATAGAATTAGCGAAGATATGACTATCAGCAATAAAGTGCGTCACAAAGTCCTGCTTATCAAAATCAAGGACATTTTAATTAAGATAATTAATATTTAAATCAGCCATCCTTTTATTAAATGTAATCTTAAAACAACTAACGACCAATAGATTGTTAGATTATATAAAAAATGGTAACTAAACTTATGGGAGACAGAATGCATTGAGTTTGTATTAATAATAGAATTGATAATTTTCAACATCAAATATATATAGATAATAACATAAATATCATTTTCTCAAATTTCTTTTAATTTATTACATTGTTGGAATATCCTTTACATTTTTACCATAGTACAAAAGAGTTGGTTCAGAATTGTTTATAAAATTTTTGACATAATCTTATAATTATTCTTTAGTAACATTTTCGATCAAACTCTCATAAAGTGGCACAGCATTTTATCCCATAAGGAATGTCTTGCATAATTTGATTGATATACTGTTTTTATTTATTCCTCTAAACGATCTGCTTGTCTCTCCAAATTCAAATTAATTAATGTGATGGCTATGTTTTTTCCTCTCTAAAATTCCTCATCACTCATTGGTTACCCCAATTATCTGAATTCATAAATTAAAGATTCGTATAATTCCTATTTAGAACTAGGAGATCCTTGAACTCTTAACCCAAATATTCCAGCATCTGAAAACACTTAAGAAACTCCTGCTGCCTCTTCCACAGATTATATTGATTGCATTAAATTAAGAGTTGTTCTTGATCTCATTCCTTTACCAGGACCACCAGTTGACCAGGAACCTATAAAATACTACAAATACTTGAAGATCCTAAAATTTAATTTAAAATATGTTGAGTAGGCATATTCTTGTCACTCCATTTACTTCCTTTAAATAATAATGCAATATCAAGAGTATCATTTTTGTCATCATTTAGGGCAAAGACTTGGGAAATGAACTCTGGAGATGTTTGTTTCCTTAATTACCTTTAGAAAACTATATGATTTTTTGAAATTCTTACATTATTGATGATTTACTAATTTTTTTTCAATGTATTCTCTAAATTATTCATGACTCCAAACTCCAGCATAACCAATAATCATATTTTAACTAGTAAGCATTTATTCTTAAAATCTTGAAAAGTCCTCTTATTTTGGCAATATTTATGCAGATGTTTTAGCATTTGCTAATGGATGTGTACCAAATGCAGCCCTTTTCATAACTTCATCTACAGTCATCTAAATATTTGTTATATAATACTCTTTCTTAAGGAATATTCATTTAGCTAAATTAATCTCTAGTTTCTTTTGCAATTCTCTTGGTCGTCAAAGCAAGCTTTAATAAGACATCTACAATCATATCAAAATCTTCCTATATAAATTAGCACTTCCAATATGATAATTCTGAATCGTATGTTTAATCTAGCATGCAGCCTGTTCGAAGGGTTTACTCACTAAATAGCTTATAAAATTACAAATTTTCCAAACAATCATTTTCAGAAATATGATACATATGTTAGTTAAGACTGAATAGTGAGCCAGTTTCTGAAGGTAGCTCATTTCTTAATCCAGCCTTGAAACAAATTCCAATATCAGAAGCAAATGGAAAAGCAGTTTATTCAGTAAATATTTTTATTCCAGAAGGTAATTCGCTAATCTTTAAAATAGGTTGTTTATCTTTGATGTATTTCAATGATTTTACAGTTGAAAATCCTCTTAGAATTTTATTCATAAATAAATTTGTTTAATATTTTATTATTATAATATTCTTCATTATGCTAATGCTAATGCTATTTTTGTTTTTTGATGACCATCCAATTACTCATTTAATGTAGTGACCTATGATCTCAAAGCTTCAATTTCTGCAAATGAAACTACTAATAAGAAACTATATTCATCAATCTTGTATTAAAGACTATTTAATTTTGAATATTCAAATTTCCATTATCCTAAATCCTAATTGTAAATAAACATTTTACTTTTTCTAATTCAATAACCTTCTAATCTGCCTCATTCAAATCTGCATTTAAATGATCAACTTAAGTTGTTAATTCATTAGATTTATCTTCTAACTTCTTTGCTTTAAACTCATGTCTCTTAACTTCACTGCTCAAAAGTGCCATTTTATCTTCATATTTATACTAATATGTTGATAACAATTGCATACTTTAATATCTTCAAGTTCAGCGATTTTGCTTTCTAATTAAGTTATCTTTTGTTTAAATTAATCTATTATTTCATCTTTTGATTGTGATTCAGTTTATAACTTTTTTATTTGATTTTGTAAATCTTCCTAATTTACCAATAAACCTTCTATTTCAGCTACTTATTATTTTAGATGAGTAATCTCGTTTAATTTATCTTAATTATCATCAATTTATTATTGTAATTAGTTCTCAAGAGAACCTAATTAAGTTTTTAATTCAGTAATATCTTCTAATTAATTATGTAAATCATTCATTTCTTAATCTAATTTTATCAATTCTTAATTCTATTAATCAATTTCATCTTGCTTTTTTTTATTTAAGACTTTAAGTCTTTCTATTTCAGATGAAAGCATAGCTAATTTATTCTCCATCTATTCTTTAGTCATCTATAATTATTAATATGACTGATCTAATGATTCATGCTTTTATTTCCATAATTTTAATTCTTTCTCAAGTTCTGCTATTCTATCTTTTAAGCTTTCTATTTCTAATTCCAGAGCCTACATTTCAGCTAATTAACCTTCCAATTCTTAAATTCTCTTTTTAAGATCATCAACGTTTTCCATCTTTTCTAATTTATATTTCATTCCTTCAATGTGAGTGGATAACATTGCACACTTACTCTATAAATCATACTTTTCTTATTCAGTTTATTAAATTTTTTATTCCAATTCTTATCTTCCTTTTGCCTCATTTTATAATTGCTACTATAATACAGTATTAGATTCATGCAATTCTTTGATTTATACATTTAAAGAGTCTAATTCTAATATTTCTTATTATAAATTTTGATTTTATTATTAATGATTTAAGACTTCTTAATTCTTTTGCTAAATAGTTTAATTTAATCTTTGGTTTTCTTATTTAAGAAGAGTTAATCTATTTTATAAGTCTAAAGTTGGATCCTCCTCATTTGCTAAATTTGATTCTGAAACCTTCTTGTAACTTTATTATAATGAACTAAGCTATTATTGCAATTCTGCAATTACGGATTCAGAATTGGATTGCTTATGAACAATATTTTAAGCCTTTTATTCTTCTAATTATCGTTTTAATTCAGCAATATTTGTATTTGCTTAATTGGATTAACCTCTCAGTTTTTCTAATTCATCCTAATAATTTTAATTCACCTATTGTTATGCATCATATTTGTTTTACAATTAACTTAATTTTTCTTTCAATATATTTAAATCTGACAATTATTCTTCTGCATTTTTCAATTGTTCTGTTTTTTGATCATTCAAATATCTCAATCTTTAAGATTCAGCACTCAACATAGCTACTTTGTTTTCTAAGTCATATATTTTATTATTAGCATCAGCCAATTTTTATTCAAGAATATTGAGTTCTTATAATTTTTATTCCAATTCTTCAATGATTTTATCTTTTTATTCTAATTCCTTCAATAATTATTGATTTTAATTTTCTAATTATTCAATTTCTCTTAACTATTCTTATAAATTTTTCAAATCTTCTTATTATTCTAATATTTTTTCATTTTTTTATTTAAGTTAAACTTTCAATCTCTCTATTTCTGATGCCAACATACTTACTTTACTTTCTAGTTATTATTTCTCTTATTCTAAAAGTTTAAATTTATCAATATCCTTCAATAATTGAGAATTCTCTTATGCAAGTTTTTCATTCTCTCTATGAGATTCATCAATTTCATGTTATAATCTTTAGTTTTCTTACTATAAAAGTGATAATGACTTTATTTTTTGATTTAATTCAGAAATAGTCAATTCTGCATTATTTAAATCAATGTCTTTTTGTTATGATTATTACAACATTTGTTATAATTCAGCACTCTTATCAGATAATAGTTTTTTAATCCTCTCTAATTCTCCAATCAAGCCTTAATGAAGTTTAAGCTATCCTTTGGTTTATTCCAGTTCAATTTACAATTTTTATTTATCCTCATTAAGTTAATGAATCTGGGTAGACAACTTATTCTACTCTTAAGTCAAAGTCTCAACTCTAGCAATTGATTCTTTTTGAGCAGATGATAATTATTGATGTTAGAGATCCAGATTCTATCATATAAGATTGAATTACATTATATTTAATTTTCCATTGGTCAAGCTATTTGAGAGCAGCAGCTAAATCAGATTGTTACTTTTTTAATTGATTTTACGATTCTTGTCTCTCTCTTTCAAATTAATCTTTTAAGTTTTGAACTTCTGCAGGATTAAATTCTGCAAGTTTGGATTTTAGTTCATCAATTTCTTTTTATTTTTTGTTGTCATTTTCAATGTATTTTTATTTCCAGGACTCAATCATTTATTCTTTTCCTTGATTTTGATTATGCATATCTTAAAGAGCCTATTGAAAAGCTTCCAGCTCTTATAATTACTCTTAATATTCCTTGCATTTTTACAAGAGCTAAATGAATATTTAAATTAGATACTTGACTTATTGTATCCTCTCTTTCAGCCACTAATTTTTTTAATCTTTCAACCTCAACTTATTAATTTAACAATTTTTAATTTTCAATAATCAACTTATTCATCTCAGATTTCTAGTTATCCAAATCAGCTTGTGCTTTAGTAAAATCTATCTAAAACTTTTTAACATCCTCCTATGAACCTAATATCCTTGATTATAATTCATCTTTCTAAATAATAACTCAAATTAGATTACAATTTCATTATCTATCTCATATTTAGCTAAACGAGCCTCTAATGAAAAATACTTCTTTTTCCATTATTCTAATTCATCCCTTGCACTTTCATCAACTTCTTTATCATTATTATATGATCCTGGATTCTTTTCCTTTACGATTACAGTAGTAGGCAAATTCTAAGCAGCAGGTATAACATATGATGTCCCCATATTAACGACAGGAGGAATAACTAATTTCTAGTTAAATCTCCATACCTCGACTGGGTGATCTGACTGAAATAACCTAAGAGGATTGCGGTCTAAATGAAGACATTGTTAATTAATTAATTTTTATTTAGGTATTTATTCATTCGAAAAAGAGAATCAATTTACTTAAGCATTTTTATATTGTCTAAGAGCATCCCTAACATCCTCCCAATTATCTTCTGCTATCTTTCTTAAAAATACACTCAATTTAAGCAATTCCTTATCATCAGGATCATTGTACCAAGTCTTTATTTAAATACCATTTTCTTCTTAATGTTGATAATTAGCCTCAATATTATCTATTATTATGCATTTAGTCATCTTTCTACCCAGTCTTGATAAGTCTTTTACAAAGTGTTTTTGATATTGCATAGCGTGTTATCTATACAATCTAAATTAGATGTATTTATTAAAAGCAGCTTAATCAAGTACCCAATTTGCATAATCTGGTAATCCAGCAGTAAATACAGCTATCTCATAATACTTGCTCATTTCTTACAGAAACTACTCTGCATATGGTCTTACTAGAAAGCTCTTCGTTTATTCAACAAAGTGAATTAAAGTTTCATCCATATCTAATATTAGAGTGAATTCATGTGAGGCTTCATTTGGTAGGTAAGGTTTATGAGCTACACTTATCAATGGAATACCCAATAATCCATGATAACCTTATTAAATAGTGAAGTATAGAGATGTAAAGTTTTATAGCATTTAATTACTCTCAACTATCTTTAAATTGGGAATCAATCTAAAATATGAATTTAAAAATTAATAAAGATCTTTAGATTATTTAGTTAAAGACTTGTACAACCCTTATAGTAATTCAAGGTTTTGTCTAATCTAAGTGCTTGACTCTATTTTTTTACTACCAAAGTACTTTTTATTTTGCATAATTATGGTTGCTAATTCTTATTTTTATGTTCTTTGGATAATGAATTCTCCCAAAAACAAATAGTTTTATAAATTATATATCAGTAAATTCCTAAAATTTATATTGTTGGTTTAGAAGACATGTTAATCAAAAAAGCTATTTACCACAACAATTATCTAAAATTTATAACCTAATATTATTACTCCTATTTTTATTAATATCAAAATTTATCTAAATTTCTTGCTATTTTCAATCATAAGGTTCTCTAGAGCTTAAAAATGCACTCCATCAATCACTTCTTAAAACCTATTGATTGAATCCACTAATTCACTCACATCCTTGACTATTTAAAATGAAATAATATTACTTTCCTCATTGCATCCATCAAATTGATGATAGAGTAATAAAGCTTAACATATGAATCTAAGTTGTCTTCTAAATTTTCTACGATCTCTATCTTCTAATGTGTAGATTTTTTGATTATTGATACTGATCGATTATTATCTTCTTTGGGTTTTAAATCAATTTATGATTATGACTATCTAGTTTCACTTTATGGAGGAGATTCTTCCTTTTGTATTGGATTCAATTTGCTTTATTTGATATTAATAACCAATTTTTTTTCAGATGTGACCACTTTAACCCTGATCTTTTTGATCTCAAAATTCTTTTTGGAAGATTTTCTAACAGATTTAGATTTAATGACAGGTAATTGTTCTGTTTCGTCATAATCTAAATTAGTTTTGAAGGGAGAATTGTCATGATTGACAACAATTTATTGTGTTGGTTTATTTTTTCTCATTTATTATTTTATATTAAAATATATATCAGTACTCAGAATTACATCTTTTCTTTGTTTACTAATTAATTTAGGTTAAATTTTGTAAAGAAACATTGTATTTATGCTTGATAAGTTATTGCTCTTTCTTGCCCTAAATAATAAATTATTTTAATTTTTAAAAATTGTTTTCTAAAGCAATTTATGATTTAATCAACAGTTCATTTGTGCCTTCCAATTCGCTGACATATCTATTCATATCCTCCAACTAACTTTCCAAAGCTTTGTTTAGAAGTAATTCATCCTACAATTTTGTCTTGCATTAATTTAATTCTTTTTAGAGAGTTTTATTTTAATCAGCAAAAGACGTAAGTTGGATTAGTAACTTATTAGGATTAATGTAATATCCGTTTTTATTTTAAGGAGTTGATGATTTGTTTGTAATCAAGAATTTCTGATCCATTTGTAATACTTTATCCAATTGAATTTATTATTCTTCTTACTCCAATTATTTTTCAACTGTCAACTACTATATTTTTTATGCCTTTCCTAGATTTAATTTTGGAATTGGAATTTAATGATTCTGTGTTGTGGATATCTAAGCAGGCAAAAAGTCAACAAAGCTGGATTCATTCAATTATGGACTCTATTCATTTAGCTATTTATTGTTATCTTCAGTTTTATTATTCTTTACTATATCTATGATCATTTACAATTTCTTATTCTCTTACTTTTGTATTCTATTTTCTTCGTGGTATTTGATGAGCATTTTGTACATTGCTTCCAATTAGTTCTAAAAGGACAAATATTCATTCTATATTGATATTGGCTTTTATAGGTTTAAACTAATACTATTTTAGTTCTCAATCTTTTTTTCTATAGCCAACTCTATAACTATTCATTTAATTCAACTATTTGATTGTCCTTCGCAAGAAGTTAATTCTATAGGTCGATCAGCTTTATTTGTTTCTCACTTTGAATATCCAAGATTCTTTAAGAATTTTCCATACCTATTTATTACAAAAGCAAATTCTAACAATGATAAAATCAAAAAACCTGTGCTCTCAATTCATCTCTTTATTTTATTAAGTCTTCATTAAAAGAAAACAATTTACAATTTTCTTCTATTAAGTGAGAGAGCATATTTTGAATATCAGTACCTTCATGAGACTCAGTTTTACAAACTTCCAAAGTAATTAAAGGACCATTTGGCAAAGTCTAATTTATTTTGAACTTATTACATTAGTACTAGTTTTTCCTCTGTATATTTTTAGGATCTCTTTATTCATTTGTATTAGTTATCTTAACTCCTTATTTTCTTCAGTCAGTATTTTGATTTCTTGTTACAAAAAATTTAATTTTGTATCGAAACTACTCATAAAATAATTAATAAAAGAAACATTCTTGTAAATACATTTTACAACTCATATCTAATCATTGTGCAGAACTAAAAATCTAAATAATGTTTCATTTGAATGTACTCATTATTTTTATAATAGATGTACACCTCACGAAAATTTGAAAGAAACTCTAAAATCTGTTTTAAGATTTCACAAACAAATACCCTTTTACTATAGCTCTTGATCAATCAATAATAAAATTTACTCTGTAACTTTCTTATTGGAATTATATTAATATTTAATAAGTTTTTGTAATGGAAACTCAAGAAAAATACTTTTACTATACTTGGAGAGATAAACCAAAATAATCTTAGTTGTGTTAGAATGACAAAAAAGTTAATGTAATACAATTTATTCAATTCAGGTTTTATGCCAATTTAGTGAATCACTTTTGCAATCTTAATAAACTCAATCTGATCAAAAACACCTAGCTTTCTGGCAATTAAAAAGGAAAAATAGTATAGTTGAGTAAAACTCTCAATCTTAGATCAATACTACTCGAATTTAAACAAGAAGAAATTCTGTTGTGGCTGGATAGGAATCATAAATTAAGACTTCGAGAAAAACTCATTAAACAAATAAAAGTTAAATTTAGAATGAATTAACAAACAAAAAGAAATTTAGAGAAAGTTATGTTGATGAATAATCAAGAAGAAGATTAAGTAGATTTTTATCAAATTATGAGATCTGTAACCTACTTCATAAAAGAAGTTTATCAAGATAAGACAATTAGATCTATGCTGAAGATATCGATAAGGAAATGGTTACAGCTCAAATTAAGTCAATTCAAAATCAATAAATTCGTTTTCAATTTCATTAATCAAATAAATAAATCATACCAGAAAAGAAATATGATAATCAAATAAATGAAATGATTAATATGAAATAATCAACCTTTAAGTCTGTTTTTTAATAAATATAACGTCTAACGAATGAATAAAGGAAAAAGAGAGTGCCTGCTACATAGCATAAAATGCTTAAATCAAGAACTAAATTAATTAATTGTTCTCATAAAATAAGGGAGAGATTTCAAAATATTCTAAAATAAGTCTTGTTTGTTGCTAAATATAAGTGCAAAATTAATTTTTGGTTTGAGTATCCAATCAAATATAATAATTAATTCTATGAATCAATTATTGAAGGCGATTAGGATGGCACCATTTTGACTTTATCAAAGGACCCATACCTAATTCATAGTAGAAACAAGGATGGGTAAACTCCATTGCATATTGCTTGCATTTGTAATAATGCTCTTTTGGTTAAATTGTTGATTAAAAATGGCAGCAATATTGAAGCATTAGATAATAAATAATTATCGCCTTTGTATTATTCATTCAAATCAAATTCTAATGATTGTTTTAAAGTAAATAACACATTTAGATAATTTAGATCTTACTTAACTCTAAAGCCAAACCATGGTCGCCACCAGGAGGTAAATTAGATCAATATTAAATGAATGTCGTACAAAAAAATTTACTGATGCATGCTCGTTTAATTTATATATTTACTATTTGGAAAATAAAAAAATGATTAATTATTTAAAATGAATTTCATTAAGGGCATATTCAATAAAGTAGTAGGAACTTAATAACCATTAGTTGAATACGAGATATTTGATTTTGTAATCCTAGGAACACTCTTTAAAGAGGATGAGGCAAAGTATACCAAACTGTAAGTGATTTATATATGCTGAGATCATCTAATACAGAATTTGTATTTGACAAGTTATCAAATGACGAATTCGATCATATTCTGATTGTTCGATTACAAAGAGCTTCTAAACCATATAATAATGTTATAAGTTCAAAAGAAGGAGACTATTATTTTAATATTTCATTTTTTAAATCAATTTGCCATTCAGCATTAAATGATCAAGTGGAGGAGTTCAGCTTAGAATTAGTGTATTATATTAAAATATTAATTTAGAGATATATAAGGTATTAAATGGAATTTAAGGATGCATTTTTTAAAGAATACAAAGTCAGACAATTTAAAAATTTAAAATTTTAAATTGTTTTTAAGCAAATTAATATGGATTTAGAAGAACAAAAAGCCACTTCCAAAAAATTTGGCTGAATTAAATGATATGATTCCTGCAAAATAATCTTCTAAATTGGAGATGCATAATCTAGTTCAATAGAAACAGGCCAAGAAAACATTGAAGAAAGTTGATAGATCAATTTTATCTTAATCAACAACAAGAACTAGATAGGAGAAAGAAAGTATAGGAGATGTTATCAATTATTTTTTGCAGCAAGACATTGATTCTATTAAATAAATATATTCCGGAAAAATGTATGTCCTTTATCCTGAATTAGCAGAAATTAGACTCATTAATCCATTAGTGGTTATGGCATTAAATATTATATCTAAAACAGAATGCAGAATGGAATTATACAATCAAGATAGATAACTACTATTAATTTAATCATTAAAAGACTTCATAAGTTTTGAAGTCGATAAAGATGAGAATTATTTAAGTTGGGTTTATTTCGATGGATACAATTCAATTGTTATATATTTCAAATTTGACATATTGGATGGAGCAACATCTATGGCTTTCATTTTATAGAGATCTAAAATAAATATGAGATAAAAAAAGAATTTATAATTAGATACTTCATCTAGTTCTATCTCAACAGCAGCTACAATTGACATCGATGAGACCTAAGTTTAATCAATTGAATAAAAAAAATAGAAAAAATACTTATATAGAGATGATTTAAATAAGATAAAATCGGGTTTGAAGACAACTAAAACAAAAAAAATCATTCATTGTGAAAATGATAAACTAATCATTTTAGAAGATAACACTGTTTCATTTATAAAGAATAATAAACAATTTTAGATTGATTAATAGATTAAATTTGATAAATCATGTCTAGGACACAACTCACAGAAATTAATCCTTTTCTAATAGTTTTCATAAGAATTACATCTTATCAATTTAGGAAATGAAACTCAGGAAATTGTTAAGTTAAATTTTTTGATCTCTGATGCTTGCTCTTATGAAAAATAATTCATATTGATAAGTAACTCTTAAGTTTATGTTCTAAATGAAGATAAAACTATTTAAAAAAGTAAATTTTTATTTTTATATAATAGTTAATTAAATTGAATAAAATTTGAAGGATAACTATACAATTGTGAGAAGTTCAATAAATGGCTCAATTGTTATAGGCTCTTAATAAGGGTTTGTGTTTGTTTTTGATAATATAAAAAATATGAAATAAGTCAATACTTTTGAAGGATTGGGGGATCCTATTACAGACATTCTTTTAAGTGAAGACGAGAGGTAAATTATGCTATACAAATAATAGATTTATTATTATTAATAATTCTCAGTATATTTAATTTTAATAAGTAATAACCAACATCGTGAATGGTTATTAATAACATCTAGAATTAAAACCATTTCCAATCAGAATTTAATTAAATCCAGAAGACTTGATTTTGATGGGAATATTTGATTATCCTAAATTCTAGCATGTGAGAATAGATAAAAATAATAAAGTTATTGCAGCCTAACTTGATAATTTGCAAGTAATTTGGAATATTGAATAAATCATTAAGTAGTCACATAATTCATATCAAGTAATAGTAGAAAATATATTTAGATTTTCATTCTCCCTGAAGAAATATTTGATTAACAATTTAGAGATCAAGATTTGCTAATCCTTTCAGAATCAAATATATATGTCAGAGAATGTGATTGATATATTTATAAATCAGAAATTAACTGTGATTTTGCTAATACTTAGAATACATAAATTAATAATATCAATCTGTAAAGAAGTCATTTAATACTTAATCCAGATTCTAATAATGTTTTTTAACATCTTCTTCCACTCTTTTAAGAACTTCTTTTTTACTTTCAACTTATGATGTTTATGATTATTATTTTTAAATTTATTGTTATTTTTATTATTATTATTATTGTTATGGAGGCTATTCAACTTTTTACGGTGGCACTATTATTTCAACTTTTCTTTTTTCACTTGCATCTTCATTTAGATAAGTTGGGAATTTCAATCCTGGCAAATGCATTCCAACTAAATGTGACAAAGATCCTATGGGGAGTTTGTGCATTTCTAAAGGAGGAGCAACACTTTCTTCCTCCTTAACAAAGGTTTCCTTAAATTCTATACTTTTTGACAATGTTCTATATAGATCTCGAACCAAGAGACTTGAGTCAAATTTAGCCAAAGTCATTATATATTAATGCAACAACTCTATATGTTATTCCTGATGGATCGTTTATATTTAATGGCTTAGCAATAAAATCTATTATTAATTAAAATAAATTTACTTCATATTTAACGTTCTCATGCTATTAAGTAAAAGTTAATGATAATTTTCTTAAGCTTTCAGCAGCAATAGTTGGTATTTAGTCTATTTCCTATCTAAGTAGTTTAATCACAGTAGCTTTATATCTAATATCACTTATATCATCAATATTTTAAAGACAAATTGCTAAAAGAGGTAACTTACTTTCTTGAGTACTAATTAAATTGCAAAAAGATGCAATTACATGATTCTTGGTGTCAGAACTTCCAGTTTTTAGAATATCTAAAAGTGATTTAATAGTTCTTTTGATGAATTTTGGAAATTTGATTGTAGTTTTTGATAGTAACTTAACAGCTACTGCTACTAATTATGGTTAATTTGATCTGGCTTGATATAACAATTCTTCAAGAATATTATTGAAATTATTTTCATCTATCAATAAAGATAGAATTTCTAATTTAAGCAATTTACAATATAGTTTTTCAATTTAGAGAATTGTAAGTGCTCTATAATGCTCTTTTACATATTATGGATATGATACTGCAAATTGATGCAACATCTGAAGGATTATAAATTTGGATTCAGATCCTATATTTAAAAATTTAACAACAGTTCTGATAAGTTTCTTAATTCTCGATTCTTAAGGGAACTAAAGATATAGTCTAGAAATTGCTAAAACTATGCCTGGATAAGGTAATTTTAAGAGGATTTCACAAGCATCCAATAATTTGATTAGGTCCTTATCTCCTTCTTTAAAGTACATCACACTATATTAATATAATAATTGGAGAGCTCTTTCCAAATCAAAACTATTAAAATTTAGCAAATCTTTGATAAGCTAAAAATAATATTTATGTAATATTGAGAGATCACCTGTAATTTTAAAAATCACATAGATAGCATATAGTCTAGTTTGATGAGTGTCTTTAAGCAGAAAATTGATAACATCATTATAATCATCCGGTTAAACATCTTCACTACACATATCATGCATTTTAAGGATTGATAAGGCAACACTTCTTCTTACCAATCCATTTTTATCTGCTTAAATCTTTCTTATTGCTGTGAATAACATTGGAGTAAGTTCTTAGATTCGCAAACTTGATAATGTTTTCAGAGCATTTAATTTGATTGAAGTGTTTTAATTAGTTAAATCTTTAAAAATAGGAGCCGTAGCCAAAATAAGGACATCTCCTTGAGATTTGCTGGTTCTTGCATTTGGCTGTGCTGCAAATTCACTTATCAATATTTAACACAATCTCTTTAATTCAAGATCCTCTCTAGGAAGTAAATTAATTATTCTTGACATATAAAGTGTTAGATCCTTGTTTTATAAGTATTACTATATTTATAGATTAAATTGATACGCAGTATAAAATTTTGATTGCTTCAACTAAGTCTTCAGTATATTTAGAATTGATAAGTTCAGCCAATTTATTATTTTTGCTTGAGTAGAGCGAAAGAGTACCATTTCCAAATGCTTTGCCAATTTTATCTGGGAGCACAGATAGCATAACACGTAAATAATATTATTTTTAATTTATGAAATAATAATTAAATAATTATTTATTTACGAATCTCTTTGTTTAATTCTTAAAGTCATAAGGCTTATCAAATTTATTTAATAGATAGCGATTTATTGAACCTTTCAATCTTTTTTTAAAGCATGAAAAGTTAAGGAATTTATTGTTAACTTGGTTTTTAATTAAATGTAATTGTTTAAACAATTGATTTGATACTTTACTCTTAAGTATTAGTGGATAGTAGGTTGAGCCTGAACAACATTGCATATTCGAATAAAAATCATTTTATCCATCATATCTAGTCAAGATAATAATATTTTGTCTAATTTATCAATAATATTCAGGCTTTTTAAGTATTTTATCATTTATGAATTAAAAAATGAATATATCTTCTTAATAGGAGATTTTTAATAAAGATACAGATCTTAGATTGATCTAAAATTTTCAATTATATTTATAAAAAATAAATTAGAAATTAATATTAAATTATTTTGATAATTATTTATAACAATAATTACTCAATCATTTTTTGTTCATTGTCCCTCCATATTTGACTTTTCCTAATAAAAACTCGCAAACAGCCACAGGCGCTTTTTCTTTCATCTCATCCAATGAAATCCACTTTTAATCAGTTGAATCTTCGAAACACACTAAAAAATCTACTCTTCCATTATCGTGTCTAACTTGTTTGACTTAACAAGGTTTACTCTTTCTTGGCTTATGAGGACCATTTCCTGTATTAGTGTTAAGTACATTATCAACATCTTTTTATATTTACTATTGTTTTTGTTTTTCTTAATTTTTTTCTTAAGGCTTTTCAATAATTTTTTCAGTTTTATCAACTTTATCCACCCTATCATTAGACTTTTTTTCTCTTTTTTGTTCCTCAAGTTTTTTCCCATTATTATTTTGATTGATAATTTAAGTGTCTTGTTTTATATGTTTTTGAGGTTTAGGTTCTTGAGGGTCATGTCCTAATTGTTTTAATTCATAATCATGGACTAGAACCAACATCTCTGGAGTTAATTGAGTCATGGGTTCAATTGATACTGAGTTGTTACTCCATCTGAACTTATACATGATGGCTTCAGGTTCAATCTTTTTCTTCAATAATTCAACAGGATGTTTTGAATTCATAATAGATAAATTAATTATTAAGTAAGGGCACTATCATTGTTTATGTAGGACAATTATTGCAATGGTTTATCAAAATATTATATAACATTTATTGTTGAATTTTAGTTTGAGTTTCATAAAAAAAATACACAATATTTGGAATAATAAATAATAAATAATTTTATAATTTCTTTTTTTCACACATCTATAATCTGGTTATAATATTTGTTTATTTATTTATAATCTTTAAAAATTGAATAATTTAAATATAAAATGGCAAATATACATAGATTGGGTGACAACAATGATTAGTAAAATAATTATTAGAACTTAGGGGGTAATGGAAGACAACAGATGATTTCGATATTCGGTAAGCAAATTCATTTAAAGATATCAAGGAGGGATTGATGCAGACCCAAGAGGTGAGAATTTTTTTGATATGTTGAAAAAATCATTCTGTCCGAGACTTAAGCTTATTTCATTTACCACAATAGTCTCAGCAGTGATTATAATTCTATACATCACAATGTTAGGAGTTGGAGGAATCAATAAACATGATCGATTTTTATCAGTTTACGAGAAAACCTTGAATGATTTTGGTGGAAATGATCCAGATGATGTTAAATCCAACTATGAAATTTTCAGATGGGTGACATCCTTAATCTTAGTAGGAGACTTCTATAATCTAGTACTTGCGATCTTCATGATATTAATATGCTATTCAATATTGGAAGCCACATAAGGATTGAACTTAACATTAATAGTCTTTTTTGGGGCAGGAGCATGCGGTGCTCTATTCGGAGATTTGTGCAATATTTGCAAATACAGAACATACTCTGAAACCTTCGCTTGCATATATGCTTGTGTAGGATTCTTGATAGGAGTATATATTTTTATTATATATTTAATAGTACATAATTCTATATTGGAAGAAATTAGATTCTTTGGGTGAAATGAAATGCGCTGTAGTATGTTTTGTTGCCATAGTAGTAATATTTGTTATGATCTTCACTTTTGGATCTGGACAAAATAATTTTTATGACAATTTTGGTGAATTGGGTGGTTTCTTGGGAGGTTTATTCATCGCCATGAGTTTGGTTCAAGTGCCTTAGAGTGGGGAATTTGAGGCTATATGTAGAAAGGTCGGATATGGATTTCTGGGAGTCCAAGTTGGATTGAGTATAATTTTGTTATATTCTTTGTCATGCAGCTGATCATATAATTATGAATAATTTACCATTTAATAAATGGACCCTAGGCTTCATTAATAAACAATATGAAGATCTTTATGAAATAGAGATGAATAAATACAGGCAGTCATACTTCAGGATTATAGAAGTGATCATTTTGCTATTGTGCATCCTCTTCTTCATCTTTAATTTGCTGGAAGGACGATAAATCATCGTATTGGTGATTTTAGCAGTTTCAAGCATAGCCATTTTCTTAGCTTTAATATATGGTCAGAAATTTGCATCCAAGGTTCGATACTATTACTTTTTAATGTATATGACATCCTTAGCAATAAGCTTGTATGTAGCATCTCAAACTATTCAAAAGTAATTCGTAGTTCTAATTATATAAGATCCCCATTTCTTTACGGATACTCATCTGCGACCATAGCAATAATCTAATTCCTCTTTAGTCACTTCAAATTACGTTTATTTACACTTTTAATAGTCCCAATAGTCTAACTCTATATTTTAGATGTACTAACTTTAGAAGACTTTGGATATATTATACTTGCATTTATGACATAATTGTTAATTGTACTCTACTCTCATTATAATGAATTCATGTTTCGCCTGGCCTTTTCCTATATGGTTTATAATCTTAAATTGAAGTAAATCCTTATTATTATAATATAAGAGACATCTCTGAGGAATACATCCCACATTCCTTCTTAGCACTAAGTCTTAATGTCAGAAACAACTAATTCTAACTGGAATTCCAAAATCAAATATGCAGATCAAATTTAAATGTTGAAGATTCGAAAACTTTAATTGAATTGATGAGAAACACCTATGTTGTACCCAAAGGTTAAATACCAACAAGTGTTGATTTATAGAATATTAATATCTAAAGATCAGGCGATTTGTCAATGCGAAGATTAGCCAAGAAGTAAACACTGGAAGAATTTGCATTCTATAAGATTAAGCAAAATTTATCAGCGGATGAATAATTACTTAAAGAGGAGGCTGAGGAAATGGAAGGCGTGTTTTACAACTAAGTAAAAGAAAAGAATGTAATGGTCAGTATTGATATCAAAAATCTCAGTTTTGGCAAGAACTACTTATTACTTGTAGTAAAGGAAGAAAAATAACCTTAAATGATGTCAAAAAGTGAAGAACAAATTCGTTTCCTTAGTAAAATTATTTAATTTGCTTCTAATTAATTGTCAGCCTCACATTAACATTTATATAAAGAAATCGTTGGGTTGAAGTTGGGTTCAATCGATAATAATAAAATTTGGTAGATCAAATGTATTAACTTATCCATTATGAGCCATTATTAAAACTTTTACTTTTTTGTTAATTACACTCAAATCAATAATTTCTTAGCCAGTTATAGTCAAATCAACCTCAAATATTTTCTTATTAACTTGCAATAGCATTTTTCTTACATGAGTATGAAAATGAAAAAGAAATTCCTTTATGAATTAAACCTAGACGACTTTATAATAAAAGTAAATTCTAAATTCCTTTCATAAATTGTCTTTAACATTTTCGAATAATGTCTAAAATAAGCGGACTCCAATTCTACTATTAATCTGAATGTAAAAAGTGAATTGAATTTGAATCCCTTATAAAACAATATTGTTGAAAAAAAGTGTCTACCAGAACTTGACTTCATTGAAAAGGTTGCTGAGGAATCTTAAGAAAGTCCCACCAAAATAGAATTTTAAAAACTCGTCAAATTTGAATTTACTTTTCTTTCAAGTACATAGGTAGAATTATAATAAGAGACTACTCTAATTTTAAATCCATAAACTTATGAAGATTACCATATCAATAACAATTAAGAATTTTAATTAAATCATCCTATAACAAACTTTCTACTAAAGAAGATTGGCCCCTACAATTCTATTTAATATTCCCAGAATGTCTATTGCGATCATTAATGCTAACAAGCTGTTATAGTATTCCCTTCGATGATGGATTTGATTTAATAACAAACCCTGTATTAGAATAAGATTAGCTTCTACATTTACTCAGATTAAACTTAATTGACACAATCATTCATTAAATACGCACAATAGAAGTCGTTTTTATAACCTTGATTTTGTAATTTTATAAATTATATTCTCAATCTTAAATAATAAAATTTCATTGTTTAAAACCACTAGTTCCAGCCTTCAATTCTATTTCTTATGAACCCTTCCTTGGCTATTTATTTTCTATGGCTCTCTTCTTTCTAAGGAAAGTGGAAGGTCTTTTCATTTTTCCCTTAAAAATGATAGAATTCATCGATATACCTATATCGTATCAGGATCAGCTTCAGGGGCAACTTGTTCCTTGAATAATTCAATGGATTAGAAGTATTGATCAGGAATTTATTTAATACAGTATCCAACACCCAAACTACACATTCCAATAATAATGCAAGCGACATGATGGGCAAAATCAAGGGGAGTGACTTTGATTGCTTTTCCACCAAATTAACTAATGAGATTATAAGCTGAAAATTTACACAATAAGAATTTGAACAATAATAGTTCCAACAATAACGCATATGAAAAGATAGTTGTTAAAGAATCCATCAAATACATTCAATTCAGTCTTTTTCAATTTTCTAGCATTGATTTCATTGAAGACTTACAAGAACACAAAAATATGGAAGAAGATAGTATAATGTTCTTGATAGACAGGGCTAAAATAAGATAATGTTTTATAGATACTTATATTCTTCATCCAATCTATGTCCTCTACTAGATTCAATACCAAAAATGGAGTCTCCACTGAATAAAACGATCAAAAGTACAAAGAGTTAAAATGCTGCTTGACATATAATACTCCTCCACATTCCTGGTGTGATCATGTGTTCTTTTCTTCCATATGGTTTACGTGTCAATAATTCATCAGTTGGAGGTTCAGTGGCCAATGCCAAAGATGCCAATGTGTCCATAATAAGATTAACCCACAACATTTGAATACTTGTTAAGGGAGACTCCTTTAAGAAGACTCCTCCCAAAAATGCCATAGATACTGCAACCACATTGACAGTTACTTAAAATACAAGGAACTTTCTGATGCAATCGAAGATATTTCTACCCCATTTCATGGCTGTTACAATTGAAGCAAAATTGTCATCTAGAAGGATAATACCTGCTGCTTCCTTAGCAACTTCCGTTCCTTAGATTCCCATAGCAAAACCTACATCTGCCTTTTTTAATGCTGGTGCATCATTTGTACCATCTCCTGTTACTGCTACAACATTCTCAAGTTATTTCAGACCAGTGACCAATAAAAACTTGTCTTCTGGAGAAGATCTGGCTAAGACTCTTAATTCTTAAGCAATTGTAGTGAAATTCTATAAATTCTTCACTTTTGGTATTTCATTTCCTTGTTCATCTTTCTCATACTCCAATCCTTCAACCATTTATCTGAAGGTCTTTCCTTCCATTACAGCAAGTGAATCATCATGATGCTCATAATTTGGTGGTAAGATTCCTGCTTTCTTGGAAATGGCAACTGCAGTATCAAAATTATCACCTGTAACCATTCTTACAGTAACTCCTGCTTCCTTACATTATTAGACTGCTTTGATGATTNGTATCAGGATCAGCTTCAGGGGCAACTTGTTCCTTAAATAATTCAATGGATTAGAAGTATTGATCAGGGATTTATTTAATACAGTATCCAACACCCAAACTACACATTCCAATAATAATGCAAGCGACATGATGGGCAAAATCAAGGGGAGTGACTTTGATTGCTTTTCCACCAAATTAACTAATGAGATTATAAGCTGAAAATTTACACAATAAGAATTTGAACAATAATAGTTCCAACAATAACGCATATGAAAAGATAGTTGTTAAAGAACCCATCAAATACATTCAATTCAGTCTTTTTCAATTTTCTAGCATTGATTTCATTGAAGACTTACAAGAACACAAAAATATGGAAGAAGATAGTATAATGTTCTTGATAGACAGGGCTAAAATAAGATAATGTTTTATAGATACTTATATTCTTCATCCAATCTATGTCCTCTACTAGATTCAATACCAAAAATGGAGTCTCCACTGAATAAAACGATCAAAAGAACAAAGAGTTAAAATGCTGCTTGACATATGATACTCCTCCACATTCCTGGTGTGATCATGTGTTCTTTTCTTCCATATGGTTTACGTGTCAATAATTCATCAGTGGGAGGTTCAGTGGCCAATGCCAAAGATGCCAATGTATCCATAATAAGATTAACCCACAACATTTGAATACTTGTTAAGGGAGACTCCTTTAAGAAGACTCCTCCCAAGAATGCCATAGATACTGCAACCACATTGACAGTTACTTAAAATACAAGGAACTTTCTGATGCAATCGAAGATATTTCTACCCCATTTCATGGCTGTTACAATTGAAGCAAAATTGTCATCTAGAAGGATAATACCTGCTGCTTCCTTAGCAACTTCAGTTCCTTAGATTCCCATAGCAAAACCTACATCTGCCTTTTTTAATGCTGGTGCATCATTTGTACCATCTCCTGTTACTGCTACAACATTCTCAAGTTATTTCAGACCAGTGACCAATAAAAACTTGTCTTCTGGAGAAGATCTGGCTAAGACTCTTAATTCTTAAGCAATTGTAGTGAAATTCTATAAATTCTTCACTTTTGGTATTTCATTTCCTTGTTCATCTTTTTCATACTCCAATCCTTCAACCATTTATCTGAAGGTCTTTCCTTCCATTACAGCAAGTGAATCCTCATGATGTTCATAATTTGGTGGCAAGATTCCTGCCTTCTTAGAAATGGCAACTGCAGTATCAAAATTATCACCTGTAACCATTCTTACAGTAACTCCTGCTTCCTTACATTATTAGACTGCTTTGATGATTCCCTCTTTCAATGGATCTTATAAGCCAGTCACTCCAATGATTGTATAAGATTTGTCAATCATATCTTCCACATTATTAAATTCTTCTGGTTTTGATGGTCTTCCTTAGATCATGGTTTCTCTATACAACAATAAGATTGATCTTAATGATTAGGATGCGTAATTCTTGATAACACTATTAATTTTTTGTTTATAATCATTGGTAATTCTAAAAATGTAATAAATTATAATTACACAACTGCCTTGCCTTCAGCATTGATGTAATGAGAACATTTATCTAAAAGCATATCTGGAGCACCTTTAGTATAAATTTTGAATTAAGTCTTGTCTCCTTTTGGATCTAAAATGATTGTCATCTTCTTTTTCTCTGAACTGAAAGGGAACTTCTTTTTGATCTTTTCTCCCATATTCTATCTAATCTATCTGAAATCATATCCAAATTTGTAACTCATTTCCAATAATGCACATTCAGTTTTATTACCAATATGCTCAAACTTACCAGATTCATCTATTTATGGATGTGCCATAGAATTCAAACAGATGCCTTCACATAGTAATTCTAAAGTTGAATTTTTAATGGCTTTAGGATCTAACTTACTAAAATCAGTATCTTCAACATATAAATTGGTGACAGTCATTTTATTTTCAGTCAATGTACCAGTTTTATCACTGCAAATATTGTTTGCTCCTCCCATAGTTTCACATGCAGATAAAAATCTAACGAGATTTTTTTCATCCTTCATTTTACCAACAGAATATGCCAAAGCTATTGTAACCGCCAATGGTAATCCTTCAGGGACAGCAACTACAATAATTGTAACTGAGACAATGAAGAAATTGAGTATTTCTTTTACGGCATGAGCAGAGAACAAGGGATATTCATTAAACACTGCATCATAGAGTAAATGAAGTGTCATTGCAATAAATGTAGTTACAGCTGCTTTTAACCCATATTCACCAATTTAATCAGCCAAAATTCCCAATTTCTCTTACAAAGGTGTTTTATCATCTTTAGCTTATTGAGTCATTAATTTTTTAGAAATTCCCCATTACGAATTCTCTCCAACTGCCAAGATGAGAATTTCACCTGTACCTTCAATGATTGATGAACCACTTATCAAAAATGGATTACTTTTCTCTTGCTATTAATATTAGAGTGGAACATTCTTTTTAATCGGATTTGTTTCTCCTGTAACTGAAGACTCATCTGCTGTTAAATCACTTGATTCTATAACAACTCCGTCAACAGGCAACTTCTCACCTGTATCAACAATCATAATGTCTCCAACAACCAATTCATATATGTTAGTGCTCACTATTTTACCACCTCTTTTTACATTCACATTTCTATTTTCTGCTATTGCATTCAATTTTCTGAATTACTAGTCTTTCACATAATTATTTCCTGCTGTAACTGATACGATTATAATAACTGCTATAAAAATTGCCATTCCATCCATCCATCCCTAATCAAATCTTATTAATCAATACTTCTTTCCATCCTTCTGTCCATACACCTATAATCAAGTTCACAGCTGCAGCCAAACACAGTATTCTAAGCATCGGATCTTCAAAGTTTTCAAGGATCTGATAAATCAAACTCATAATCTTACATATTCCAAAAGCGTCTTTGGTTCTTTTATTTCAGGCTTGTTGTCACCAAAACTATAATCAAATACACATATCTTACTTCTTGACTCTCAATTCCATATCATTGATATTACTGCTATCTAACCCTTTCTATACATATATATTTTCTGATATACCTTTGGATCTGTCCTCAACTTCTTCATCAACCCATCTATCTTTCCATGTCTTCCCAACTATACCAAACTTGATCCATCTCTCACATTGTCTGGAATAAACAAGTTGCTTTAATATTCGTTATATCTTTTACGATAATTCCGTTGCTGTCATTCCAAAGTCAGACAAAGTATTTCCCACCAAGAGATTCTCCTCTAGCTAAGATGCCATTTTTAATTAAAATTTAATTATCAAATATCAATCATTTTCTTAATTAATACTCATTATTAAATTTTATTATAAAATGTGTCATCATCAAAATTCAATTCCATTATTTACCTTAAATGACGCCATTTGTTAAGCACCCCCTCTTCTAACTCCCCTTTCTAATTTCATATTACTCATTTTAATTATAAAATGGATTTTCAATGTTTCGTTTACACAATAACACTTCATTTAAATACATTCCTCCTTAGCATGATACTGAGATTAATATTGATGATCATTCATTTTAAAAATAACATAGTTTCATTAAAATAAACCAAACTAACTAATTTATTTTTATTATTTAGATTTTATTATCTATTTTATTATAAAAAAGTTAAATCAAATCTGTGCATTATATTATTATCTCCTTTTTTTATAAATTGAACCTAAATATGCATATGATTCTTTATATTGATAGCAATGTTTACAAAAAGAAAAATAAGGTAAATGAATAAATTCACATCTTCAGGAGAATGATAAAACTTAGTAGTAACAAAATTTCATAGTAGCTCAAATTTATAAAATTTAGAGTATAAAAATGATGATATTCATTGGAAATGAAGAAATATAAGTAAAATTGCTGGAAAAATATGATAATATTTGACAAAAAGGTTTAAAAAAACTAGAAAATTACAATTCAAATAAGGAGGTTCTTAATTAAAATATATGAAAGAATTCTAAGATTTTTAAATCTTAAAAGAGACATTTCTAATCGCCTTTAAATACATTTAAAATATTAAACAGATTAAATTTCTTTAAAAATCATAGTTCCAGATTGAAATTTGTCATATTGTAATTCAAAAATGAATTAAAAGAATTTATTTGTTTGATCTTCTTAGTTAGATAGGGAAAAGCTAAGTTTTATGATAAGCTTTACATTTGAATTTGTAAGTTATTATCCTTTAGAATATTATGGATCTATTATCTTCTCAAGCCTTCGAACTCTAAAACACTTAATTTTTAGTTTCTTAATATAACATAATCTTAACAATTAAAGAGTTATTTAACAAGCGGTTATATGATAAGATCTAAATCATCACTCTCATCAATATGAAATTTTTTGAACAGTATTAAATAGGAGTCATAATTAATGGTGTAAAATAATTATATATAAAAAATCTAATTAAATTTTCTGCCTTTTGTTTTTCTTTAATTTTGAGAGATTCGAAAGAATGGCGATTGTATAGATTTATTAAGTAATCAATAGATATTAATTGTTTGAAATAATATAAAATAACCGATTATCATAAATATAATAATTATATATTCATAATATGGGCTGTATTGGAAGCACTTCTAGAAACTTGTAATAACCAACTTTCTCTGCTATTCTAACGGAAATTTTTGAATTAGTACCAAGAGAGGAATCTTTAAAAGAGTTCAACAAGAAATCCGAAATAATGAAATACTTTAATGAGTTTGACTGGGCCAAAATATAACCTTAGTTTAAGTTAGAAGTAAAAACGTTGATAGATCACATAGAATCTTATAAAATTAGACTGATTGATTCTGCATTATATGTAGAGAGTAAAATAGTAATTATAACAAACAATTAATTAGAAACTGTCCTAAAATCCTATTATAATAAAAATGTGCATGCACATATTATAAGAGCTCATTCTCAATTTAAATAAGTTTATATAATTGAAAGAAATTCCAGTTTAAAATTAGCTTCTTGAAGAATCCAAAATTGAAATCAGTCAGAGGTCTATCCAAATAGAACACATACAAACCTTAACCTAAGTATCAGATAACTTCTTAAAATTTGAATTAGCATTCTCTAATATTATCTCATAGTTGATTAATGATAAAATGGCATATGCAATGTAAGAATGACATAATTTCTTAAGGGTTTGGTGGTCTTAGTTTTTAGAAACGTTGGAGTCATTCTCCAATAAAAAAGCAAATAAATAATTCTAGAGCGAGAATATCCAATGCATTTTGACATTCCTAGAATACATAATAGGAACAAAGTTGGGTTATTCAGATTAATTGTAAAAAATAAAATTACATTAGTGAATGGGTAACGAAGACCAATGAAGAAATGTCAGCAGTTTAAGAATTGCTGGATATGATATCTGATCCCTTTGTTGTGATGTAAGTCTATAGAACTGCTTTTCTAAGAATTCCACAAGAAAGATTATTTGTAACAAAAAGTTAGAAAGCTCTATTTAATATTTTGATGAAGGATCATAAAATGTTTGCCACTCACCCAATATGGCACAAATTAACAGAAACTTTTCTAGAAAGAGCTTTAAATTAATAGTTGTATGAAGAATTATTTTAAATGTTATTCAATAATTTTGACGAAGATTATTGGAAAAATCCATCTGATATCTTTGATATGACTTTCATTGTTTTAGAAGTAGCCAAAGAAATTAATTAATTGTCGAATACTGAGCTATTTATATTTACTAAATTAGTTGATTACTTAGATACTCCTAATGATAAGATTTTATTCGACAGTCCCAGCGGTCCTCCTTTGTTGAAGAAAACTTCAGAATATAAAAATTTTCACGTTACTTCAAATGTGAAAAACTCAATTATTAAATTATTAATTAGTCTTTTTAATTCCATTGAAACAAATTAGTTTATTCTATTTCAGCAAACCTAAACTATCAAGGCTGTTCTTAATAATTTAAGATCTAATCCAGAATCAGAGACCTTCAATGATACTAAACTATGCTTAATCGCATTGCTCAAATAAATATCATCAGATACTAATAGTGTCCAGTCATTCATACAATAAATCCTTACTTTCGCATACAGTTACAATTTAAATTTAATAAATAATACAGCTATTAACGTTGATATTTTAATTAACTTATTGATGATTTTGCATGAATGTATATTCAAGATAGAAGCCTTTAATTCAACAATAATAATCACTGAAGAAATGATAGTAATGCTGATTGAAATAGCTGAAATTAGTCATTAAATTTCATTAAAATGTGCCTAAATTTTAACAACTTTGTTTTTATAAACAGGAAAAATAAACTCAAACGAAAATAATGAAATTAATTCATATCTTGTACCTAATTCCAATATTATTGGATTAAGTGCATTTTTTTTATCAAATTCTGTTTTACTTAGTTATGATGAGCCAACAGATGTTAGAACATTAATAAATTAATTTTTTGATTTCATCCCTGGAAGGTTAACAAATCAACAAATAGTGTCTATAATTGCGTATTTAATTGATGATTCCTCGATTAAACAAGGAAGCAACAAATTGGCCAAGTCTAATAGAAAAGTTAACTTTGATCAATACAAAGACAAGGAATTAAGGTTGTGCATGATAATTAAGCTAATTTCATTTATGGATGAAGAAGTTTCTAAAGAGTACAATGAACTTTTATATTCATGTCTTGGAGCATAGTTTTAAACATATAAGAAAAAGGGATTTGGTGCATAGTAAAATTAATTGTTATTATAAGCTAGGATTTATCGAATTTATTAAAAAAAAGTAATATTAACACAGAAATTCAGGAAATATTATCAAAATGCACTTCAATAAGTCCAATTGATTTTGAGAAAATCAAGAAATAATTCAAAGAAAACCTATCTAATTAGAATAATTAAAATGGAATTATAAATTTAGATGATATTTATGTGAAAGAAGATATTGAAGTATTATAAATTACAAATAATAATAGAGGGGATCCATTTTAAATTAGTCCTTCTAAGCTCCCAGTCACATAGATGTTTAATTGGATGAAAGTTTTGAATAGTAGTTGTAGACTATAAAAAAATAGAAGATGAAATAAGATAAGTTAGAACATTTAACAACTGAGTAAAGGGAACTGATGGAATATTGATTAATGTTGTTATATTTGTATTTCAAAATATATAAAATACTGAAATATTAATTTCAATCATAGATCTAGCCCAACAATAAGAAATTATAATAGAATAAAGTTGGTCGTAATAAGTCTTTGATGAATGCACTATAAAATTCATAATTGTTAAAGTAATATTAATTGTTGAATATTTACTATGTTCTTTAATTTGCAGACTAGCTATTCTCTATTGATAGTGCAAACAATAGACTTTAATCGAAGATATCAAATATTATAAATATAAATAACTTTGAAAAATAAAGAATAATTTAATTCCAAAATAAAATAATATGAATATTTAAAATAGATTAAGAAGTATCGAAAATTAGTAAGGAATAAATGTGGATAATTTTTATAAAGTAAAGAAACAATTATTTTTCCAGAAATTGTTCGAATAGTAGGCTAAGCACAAAAACGCCCAAGAATAACTCTTGAAAATTTTACAACATAATAACTTAATTATTTTTAGGACTTTATAAATTATATTTTGAGAATGGATTCGAAAAATCTCGTTTCTTTAAGAATTGGAACATTGTTTGATTGATTTGAGAATTCGAAATTCAGCTTTAATTAAAATCAATATTTTTATTATTAGCTATTTTATAACAAATATTTATGAGAAAATTGTTTCGGCAAAGTTAATTGATGAGTTTTGCGAAGAATAAAGTGAAATTTTATAATTTCAGGTATAAATAAATAAAAGTCTATCACACAATTTCATTATGGATAGAACACTCATAAATTTCAAGCTCATCTACTTGAAACTCAGTTTTACCAGCCAAACAACCTAATCCATTTATATTATTGCAGATATTGTTTTTTTTATTACAACAATCAACGAATATCTCGATATCATTGCCTAGTTTTAATAAATAGTTGGAATTGATAGCTAATTTTAACTCTTTTTTGTAATCCACTCTTTTCTTACTCTAAAAATTAATTATTTATATTCGACTGTTTTAATTAAATATTCCAAAAACTGAATCATTGTCTACTGATCTAATAAGTATCAAGATGGATGTGGCTTTTTTAATGGAGGTTAACTATTCTTCTGATACGAGATAAAAATTACTCTCGGTTCTAATAAAAACAATAAGATATACCCTCGATACAATAATTTAAATTTAATTTACTAATAGATTTTGGCATTCAAGATTTCTCCCAAATAAGAGAGTTCTGACAGGGTGAAAACAGTTTGAGGTGTGCTATCAAAATGCAATTGGCTTTTAAAAAAGGTGTTGTCACTTTAATCGACAGATGAATTCTCCAATGGAATAGATTCAGCCACTTGTTGTAATACAAATTAGGAGGACTCAATGTCTTAGGAGTTCGAATTATTCAAATTGCTAGTATTGATTGAGGTTTTCTTTTGGTTTTCAATTAATTATTGCAGGTTTTCAATTCTTTCTTCGAGCATCTTAGATTTTAATTATAGTTCATTATTCTCTTTGATTGAGCACTTAAAGGATAGAATAGAGAATTAGTACTTATAATTTCATTTTGAGTTCTTCAATATCTCTCTGTTATTCGATAATTAGTTTGGAGGACCTATCAGAACAAGAAGCTTAAGTTAAATTGAGATTGTACATGAATTGACACTGTTGGAATATGATTTGGCCATGAAGGTTTGCAATCTTCTAGCATCATTGTCTGAATAGATGTCTTCAACTTTGTATATAGAGTTGACAATTTTTATTGTGTTTTCTTGCCTTTCTTCTTAAGTTTGAAATCTAATATTTACATAATACTGTATAATTTTGAGAATATCATCTGGAGTTAAGAACTTTTCAGGAAAGGATTTCTTATTTTTTTATTCATTGTGAAATGATAGAAGTTTGATTAGGATGTCTTCTTTTAAATGTAAAACATTAATAGGGATGTCATCATTTTATTTAGTGCAACAAATAGAGTAATAGTTTTATCGATAAAACTCTAATTTTTGTATGGGCAATATGATTTTCCATAATTGTGGATTTTCATCCAAGTAATCAATATATTTTTCTCTTAGTGATTCAATTTCATATAATTCAGCAAGTGTTAATACAATGTGAATGTCTATTCTTTGGAAGTTTTCATATAATGAATCTTAAAGGGTAGTGATAAAATTATTAATTTATAGAAAGTGAGAGATTTTATAAGCAGAGTAAAATTCTTCATCTTTGTAAATGTGATACTGATAACCATAAAAACAGTTGAGTATTTTTTAAAATACAACCCCATCATGTTTGCCGGGTATAACTTTAAATTTGGAGTCACTATTATGCAATTGCGTTTCGAAATATTGGCTTCTTTTTTTAAGTAACCTGATCTACAATTAAAAAGTTTCTTTGCCATTCAAAACCAATATGATATCTGCATTCGGATCAATTGGAAAATGACTTTATAAATCATTGTTTTCAATATTGACAAATTTCAAAGTGGCCAATGAATTCATAGAATGAATTATATAAAAATTATTATTATCGATCATTGTTTATATAATAATAATATAATATATTTATCAAAATCTCATTCGGTTGAGCATAAGAGAGCAACTCCTCTTAACTTCCATTTATGAGCACCCGTACCTTCACAAGGCAATCCAACTCTACAAATGAGATATTTGTCAGTTCTTCTTGGATACTAAGATGAATAACACAAAACAATACCTTATAAACAGGACAACTGTAGGTTGAAGAATTCTTTTCGGCATCAGCACCCTTCTTCTTATTGATAGCAGTGACATAAAGGATGGGCAACGGAGCAAACATCTTCTTAGGTTCAGACTCATCAAGTCCATTTCTGCTCCATTTACATCCCTCAAGAGATAATCCACTCACATAGACACCTTCTGATTGAATATCTCTGATTTGTTCATATTCTCTTTCTTTAACTTAAGTGGATTGTACAACATCATCCAATGACCAAGCATCCTTGTCTCCTGGTTTACCCTTGTGCATACGAGTGACTTCTTATTTCACAGCAGTCAAGAACCCTTGAGGATTGAAGAAACCACCAAGCCAAAAGTGATTGGGTCTGTTGCTCTTCAACCAATCATTTAATTGTTTATTACGATCTATCAATGAACTGAACCATGCTCCTAGAGTGGGCAAGATCCATGAGATTTCGACACCTGTAGCATCATAAACCCAAGTAAGAGGTACTTTTGCATCATACATTGAATTGATGGCATCTAAAATATCAGGAGTCATGATGATCTGACCATCAATTGCATCAATAACATCTGACAATGTTTTTCTGCAAATGGCAATAACTATTTGCATTCTTTGAATTTCTTGATACAAGAAAATGTTAAGTGGCACAGTCAATCCCTTATCTGGAAGATTCTTTGGACCAGCTAATTTACGAACCTATTCTCTGACTTCCAGATCAACATAGTCTGAGGGTAATTTAGCTAATAACTCTCTAGCTTTATCCTAGACTATTTCTTCTCTTGTTTTTCCACCGCCACCGCCAGAATCCTTTGGTCTAGTGTCCATAATTGTTATGATCATTTCAGTGGATTCTTTCTTTCTAAATGTAATATCAGCATTAACATGTAATCCAAATACTTCAGGATTATCAATATCAGGTAATTACTTAATGACTTCGTGATATTTAATGAGTTCTGGCATTTAAGTTGTGGCAGGGATTTTGTATTAGAATTTAGTTGGTTTAGTACCACCTCCTGCATCGAATGGTGCTTCAGCTATAACATATTCGTTTCCAAAGATTGCTTCTTTTAAGTAATCTTCACCATAAGCATTAAACAATTCTCTATCCAAATCATCCGTAATACGACCACCATATTGCACTTCACATATCATGTATCTAATGACATTCATATTCAAGTTCAAGTTTGGTGATTATGAAGGAGGTCCACTAAGGAATGAATTCAAGTATTTTTCAATAAATGCAAGGGAGGCTTCAAGATCTGGATTGTTAAATTCGTAAGGAACACACCATCCAAGAGGACCGAACTTACGTCTTTCAATAACAATTGAGTGCAAGAAACAAATGGTATAGATAAGACTTCTCCAATTTGGATGTTCAACCTTCTCCAAGAATTCTTAGGTGATGATTGTAGTAAAGGTCTTATATAAACCTGCTTTCAATCCCTTAGGTGGTTCATTGGTAACTTTGATAGTCTTTTACAAGAGACCCAATGGGAATTTAGGATGCTATTCACAGGTAATCCACAATCTGAAGTCATCATTTATGGTTGCCTCTGGATTAACAATGGTTTCAATTTCTTCCATGAATTTAAGACCCAAATGACAGTTTTATAGAATAACCCACATACCAGTTTCGAACCCATTTTTAATGACTCTTCTGGCAGCCTCTTCTTAACCTTCTCCCATTGATACTTTTTCACAAAATACTTTTCTCTTCTTTCTCGAGAGATCGTCGATGGATGAAGTAGGATCAGCACCAGCAGACAACAAGAATAATACTGGATCTGTTTTGGAACTTTCTGCCCAAATAGAATCAATAGGATATGAAATAGGAGCAGTAAATTCTTTACCAAGAGTAGCATTAATAAAATGAGTAGCAGCAACTAAGGTTCTATCTTCCTTAAGTGATCTTACGAGACATAAAGAAATGAATGGACCAATTTCTTTATCAGCTGCTATACGTTCAGCAAAGTCTGGTATTGGTGAATTCTCAGGATCATTTCTATCATTCCATTATCTCCATTATTGTTCATTTCTCGAAATGGATTCTGGTAGATCTCTAAAGAATGCCATTTGATCTCCGTTGAAATGATGTCTAGACAAGGCTAAAATGTTGAGCCATTATTTCTCATCCAAGAATTAGAATGGCTTTTATTTTTCTGTTTTTGCATCCAAAGCAGCACCACTCTTCAAAAATTGTGATACATCTCCAGCATTAATTTTCTTGTCTGTTTATTTAATCTTGAAACACATCATTAAAATGAATGAAATCTTATCCTTTTCAAATAGACCTCTATTGACATACTTATAAACATAGAAAGTAAGATATTTAATGATGTTATCTACTCTTTTAGAGGGTAATGTATTTCTTTCAGATTGATCAATCGAATCATTGAATAACTTCAAGAATTGTTCCAAAGAGGAATTATACATCCAATTGATTAATGACACTTCCAAAATTGTGAAATATAAGGCTGAACCTCTGATTGCAACTGGTCTATATTATTCTCTCTTCTCATTAATTTCTCTGGTCTTGACTTCAGCATCCAACAATTTAACAGAAACTTCCTTGGCTTAAGTCTTAGTGCTTCCCAACACTTCAATCAAACCCTCATCTTCCAAAAGATTACCAGAAGATTGAGTCAATCTTTCTAATAAATTCTTATCTAATCTTTATAGATCCTTCTTATTTTAGTTGACATCTGCCAATAATTAATTGAGAGAATCTTCCAAGGCCTTTTACTCCTTACTGATGACCTTACCCAACAATTATTATTCTAAACCACCTTGAGTAACAGTAAAGTCAATAATGGTTGTCTTGGCTGATAATTCTGGAGAGAATGTAGGATTGGCTAATCTACAAAACATAAACAATTTAAATCCATCATCAAAGTCCATTTGAGTACCTCCAACTTCAATATACTTATTCTTCTTGGCTTTGACTTAGATTTACTTCTCAAGCACTGGATCTAACATGGGATCTACTTCATTTTCGATATTTTCAATAATCAAACATAATCCATCTTACATACATGGTTTTAAGAAGTTATCTTTGAATTTAGGATGATTCAATGTAGTAATACATCTGAAGGGTTCAATTTTGTCAGCAAACTTCTATCTGATCCAGAAATTACCTTGTCCCTATGGATCAATTAACAATGGATATCTGGTAGAATTTGTAACCATGATACCATTTTGAATGGACAATTCGTCTTTAGGTAATCCCTATAAGTTCCATTCTCCNCAGCACCAGCAGACAACAAGAATAATACTGGATCTGTTTTGGAACTTTCTGCCCAAATAGAATCAATAGGATATGAAATAGGAGCAGTAAATTCTTTACCAAGAGTAGCATTAATAAAATGAGTAGCAGCAACTAAGGTTCTATCTTCCTTAAGTGATCTTACGAGACATAAAGAAATGAATGGACCAATTTCTTTATCAGCTGCTATACGTTCAGCAAAGTCTGGTATTGGTGAATTCTCAGGATCATTTCTATCATTCCATTATCTCCATTATTGTTCATTTCTCGAAATGGATTCTGGTAGATCTCTAAAGAATGCCATTTGATCTCCGTTGAAATGATGTCTAGACAAAGCTAAAATGTTGAGCCATTATTTCTCATCTAAGAATTAGAATGGCTTTTATTTTTCAGTTTTAGGATCCAAAGCAGCACCACTCTTCAAGAATTATGATACATCTCCTGCATTAATTTTTTTGTCTGTTTATTTAACTTTGAAACACATCATTAAAATGAATGAAATCTTATCCTTTTCAAATAGACCTCTATTGACATACTTATAAACATGGAAAGTGAGATATTTAATGATGTTATCTACTCTTTTAGAGGGTAATGTATTTCTTTCAGATTGATCAATCGAATCATTGAATAACTTCAAGAATTGTTCCAAAGAGGAATTATACATCCAATTGATTAATGACACTTCCAAAATTGTGAAATATAAGGCTGAACCTCTGATTGCAACTGGTCTATATTATTCTCTCTTCTCATTAATTTCTCTGGTCTTGACTTCAGCATCCAACAATTTAACAGAAACTTCCTTGGCTTAAGTCTTAGTGCTTCCCAACACTTCAATCAAACCCTCATCTTCCAAAAGATTACCAGAAGATTGAGTCAATCTTTCTAATAAATTCTTATCTAATCTTTATAGATCCTTCTTATTTTAGTTGACATCTGCCAATAATTAATTGAGAGAATCTTCCAAGGCCTTTTACTCCTTACTGATGACCTTACCCAACAATTATTATTCTAAACCACCTTGAGTAACAGTAAAGTCAATAATGGTTGTCTTGGCTGATAATTCTGGAGAGAATGTAGGATTGGCTAATCTACAAAACATAAACAATTTAAATCCATCATCAAAGTCCATTTGAGTACCTCCAACTTCAATATACTTATTCTTCTTGGCTTTGACTTAGATTTACTTCTCAAGCACTGGATCTAACATGGGATCTACTTCATTTTCGATATTTTCAATAATCAAACATAATCCATCTTACATACATGGTTTTAAGAAGTTATCTTTGAATTTAGGATGATTCAATGTAGTAATACATCTGAAGGGTTCAATTTTGTCAGCAAACTTCTATCTGATCCAGAAATTACCTTGTCCCTATGGATCAATTAACAATGGATATCTGGTAGAATTTGTAACCATGATACCATTTTGAATGGACAATTCGTCTTTAGGTAATCCCTATAAGTTCCATTCTCCAACTGTGGCATCATCGACTAAAAATTATGTCAAATTCAATCCTGGTGTAACTGGAACACCTCTCCTCTTTTGATCATTTACGAAATAGTCTCCTGCCAATAACTATCTATATTCTGCATTGAATGGACCACAATAAGAAATAAATGATGTAGCCAATGAACAATTACCAATTAATTTACGTTTCTGATCAGCTATCTCTGTGGCTCCTTATCCCCATCTAGTCTTTTCATCTGAAAGTGATTCAATCAATTATCTAGCTGTAGTAATTCTCTTTTTAGTTTTATTCGATTTTTGTTCCAAAAACGATTTCTCTTCCATTTATTTGTTGAATGTCTCCTTCAGTTTAGCCAAATATTCCTTGATTTCATTTAAATCTCTTTCAGCCTTTGCCAATTCCTTTCTTGCTACTTCAAGACGACCTTCTTAAATTTACAAATAGACCTTCTTGGGCTTAACAATCTTTGATTTCTCATGATATTCATAAATAGCCTTAACCCACTTCAATAGACCTTAAGCAGCCTTTGAAGCACTCTAAGCCTTTTCTTCACTAAACCATTCCTATGACATGTATGGTTACAACAATTCGATAGTTTCTTCATTAATGCCATCCTTCTCAAATCCCTTTAACTTGTTCAAGAAGTTCATATCAAAAAGTACTGATTTACCACCTTCATCAAATGAATCCTTCAAAAATGTATAATCTATCTTACTGATTTTCACTTAGAATGATTGAACTGGCAATAACTTACCCATGAAATAAACAACAATAGAATCAATAATGGCTTTCATAATGTCCATCAAAGTTTTCATGGCCTTCATTTCATCAATATCCTTCTTATCTAAAGAATCGACGGCTTCTTAAGCTCTTATAAGTGCAGGCATAGCAGCAGCCAAATCCTTCTCAGCAGCCTATTTCTCACTGGCAATCATCTATGCTTATTTCATACATTAAGCAGTGGTGGCCTCGACTTCATCATTCTTTTAATTGGCCTTCTTGCTTTCTTTCTCCAAATCTTCTAATAACTTTTCAGTCTTCTCAGATGCTTCCTTCAATTAAGCCTCTTCTTCTCTCAAAGCAACACCCATCTTTTCTATTTATTTAGCTGCCTCATTGATCTTATTCAAACCAATCTTGTATGAATTCTCTTGAAGATCTAATTCAGCGTATTTTTTCAAGTACAATTCCTTATAAGAATTCAAATAAGAAAGATAACTCTTTGGTGTAACATAGACTTGTCTTCTCATCTTTTGGAAATATAGCTCACAAACAGAGTTAACCATAATATGAACATTACCCATATGTTTCATCAATTCTTCTTTGATATCATTAGTTGTATCTAATTCTTTGAAATTCTTAATGAAGGTTTCTGCAACACTAACCAATGCAGCTTCAGGCCATGGCAAGAACCAATCGATTGTACATTCATTGAACAAGGCTGGGAATTTACGAGATCTGTCTCTGAATTTCTAACCTACTGGTGAGAAGCACAAAATAATGTGCAAATTATCTCTTATTCTATCAACCAAATAGGCATACAAGTCACTCTAAGGAGGATCGACATTACCCAATTATTTCTCTTTGACATAGTCATTTCTAACATCTGCCAACCAAACTTCCTTTTCATCCTTAGCCAATAAACCAGCCACTTCTCCTGTTGATAAGATCATATTGATATATTCTAAGAATTCTTCCTTCTTTACTTCACTATCTGTCAAGATGAATGTAACCTATTTACCAAGATGGCCAGCCCAATCAAACAATTTCTTAATTTCTTCTTTCAAGTCTTTTTCACTGAAATTTTTAGTCAAAATAATTTAATAGCACACATTCTTCAAGATATCAGCAGCCAATCTTGTCAAAGATTATTTACCTGAACCACCAACTCCTACTAATAAAGCATTTGATCTTGGTTATTTAATCAATCTTGAAATACGCAACAAATGTTTGATAGCATCATCGAAAAGCACTAGACTCATCTTCTTTGCTGGATATTTATCATTATAATCTTGTAAAAGTGTGTTACATCTTAATCTTAATCTATCAATAGAGTTAACTCCCTCATAAATCTTTTCAGCTTCAACTTCAACTAATCCATCCTCATTCTTTATGTCTTCCTTCAAGAAATCACACATTAAGAATAACTTCTCCTTGCTGAATTTATCCTAGATTTCACTATCTAGATGATTATAGAGATCCAAAGCAATATCCTTAATGTAATTACATACTTGATCCTTATCTTTTTGATTAGTCATTTTATCGACAAAGACTCTTTCACATTCATGCATCCATAATCCAACTAAAAATACATCAGATTTCATGGGTCCAACTTAAGCAGCAGTGTTTATTGTTTCCTTTCTGACTGATAGGATACCCTTGAAGACACGAGATAAATCTCTCATGTTGAACACGTAATGGAATTTAGCAGGTGTTGGTAACATAGTTGCTTTGACCTTATTCCAAATTTAAATGGTTGCACCAGTTAATGTATCAATAGCTCTATTGACATCAGCGGAGAAATATTTAGCCTTGAATTAATGTTTGATGATTGGACCATAAATGCCTTCAACTGAGAGTGGCAAAATCATATTGAAAATGACTGCTTGTCTCTTCAATCTGTTGGGAATATCATTTCTACCACCTCCTGGATGTTACATAGCTCCGATGTATGTAAGGTTCTTGATACCTCTGAAATTACCTCTTTAGGCTTTGTCTAACATATAGAAACCACCCTAATCGATCAGTTGTCTAACTATTTCCAATGTGACTTAATCTCCCCACTTATTTACAAAAGGCATTGAAAGATCATCAATGAATACAGTCATGTTTTTATTTTGAGGAGGAGCAAAATCTTTACCTATTTTGAAATCACATTCAGCTTCAATGGCAGCTTAGAAGTGACTAGGTAGAGTAGCAGATGAAAAGTTGATTCTCTTGAACAACATCTTTTCTTTGTTGAATTTGTTGGCATACATAAGAACACTTGATGTTTTGGCTGTACCACTACCTCCGACTAAGATAACATAACTGCAACTGACAGGTGGTTATGGTGATGCCTTTGGTTGATTAAGAATGTATGATAAGATCATTTCAGCTCTGAATGAATCTACAGTGGGCATGAGTAATTGTGAGAATTAGAATTTATCTGGGGCCTTCCATTCTTCTGGTGATATGAGTTTCCATTCACAAGTACCTCTTTCATCTAAGTAGATATAGTAATCGAAGACTGTTTCACCATCCTTAGCTTTGTATGGGATTGGGGCTCCTTTTTAGGCTAAGAATTCATGGAATAAGATTCTATCTTGCACTTCATAGATGCCACCTACTCCCCAAGTCATAGCAAAGACAACTACTTTTTCATAATCTTATTCAGTCAATGTTTTATTAGCATTTACTAATGGTCTCAAAATACCATTCAGAAGATTTAAGGTTT